GGACCAGGTACTTAAAGCAAAAGGAACGATGAGGCACTTCCTCCTGGCAGCTTCTTTAATTTAATTGACTGCTGTCTCCCCTTAGCTGGCATTACAGGAATGGTGGGACATTGGACTTACCAACATAACCCAGCGACTTTGCCTTGCTTACAAGAAACCTTTAATCTGACACCAAGATGTATTTTTCCATACTTGCAAGTAAAAAAAGTATACTCCATTCCCAACTAGTCACCCTTGTAATACCTGCCTGTTCTATAATGCCACAGTATTCAAATATTCCTAAATAGATGTTGGAGAGATCCATTGAAACATGAGGCTCTATTTATGTGTTATAGGGTGTTAGAAGATATCGTAATGACCCATTCCTACATCTTCCAAAAGAGGTGAGAGGAGGAATGAAGAATAACTTCTCAGACAAGGAGTGGGGGAGATCACTAGGTGCTCTCTGGGGGGTGAAAAAATGCTACCACCATGTGGTAGCTCACTGCAACTAGTCTATCAGTAGGTACCAAACTCCATCTCACCTTCATAAAATACACAGGAAGGTACCATATCTGTTGGGCCTGTAGAAGGAATCTACCTTTTTGGAGGGAGGTTGGGGAGGTACTAAAGGCACTTTCTATAATGTCCTTTGAACCCCCCAGATACGTATTACTTATGCCTGCAAAGGACACTCTTTGCCAAAATAGAATCTTGCATACAAATATCACTAGCGGCACGTTACATCATAGTTCTAAGCTGGAAATGACCCCCTCTTTACAAAGCTTACTCAAAAAGATAAATCTTAACTACATATATCAACAAATGTGTACTGACAATATTGCTAAACAGATTAAAATGGATAAAGCATGGCAACCATGGTTAACTTATAGGTCGGAGAGATCCACAAACTGAAAAAAAAAACAAAAAAACACCACAATATACATTTCTTTATTCCTGTGACCTGGATGTTAAGGAGGAGTAGGAGCTGGTTGATATTGATCCCAAGGGTAGGACAGGATGCCACGTGTGCTCCCAAGTGTACTTTCATGTTTGTTCATGCGATAAATGAGACCATATTGTTCAGTATGCTTTGTTATGTTTTATTTATTTTGTGTTATAGCTGTTATTTAACTGATGTTTTTTATCTCTATTCCTCGGAAGACTATTAGTTTCTAGGAACCTTACTTTGTTCCACCTGTTCTGATAGTGATTTGCCTGAGAGAGTAATATCTACCTTATTTGGATGGTATTGGTACAGAGAAAATCGCCCGTACCCAGCTTTATGTAACACAACATTGAGCGATGTCTAGAGGAACACAACGGCATACAAATTGCTAGTCCATTGGTATCAGACACCCCAGTTGCTATATGATATTGGGTTGTCCCTGGATGACAAATTCTGAAGGGAAGGGGTGGGAACACTCCTTCATGTGTGGTGGGATAGCCCTTTGAATCGCCCATATTGGGATGTGACTATTTACATAGTTACATAGACTGAAAAGAGACATTTGCATCTAGTTGCTGTTTAAACATCTGTACAGACTCTGATATAACCATTTATTTAGGCAGAGAATTCCACATCATTATTGTTCTTGCGGTAAATACATTTCCTTTGCCTTAGACAAAATCTTCTTTCTTCCAGTCTAAACGCATGATCTTGTGTCCTATGTATAGCCCTGTTTGTGAATAGATTTGCACACAATGGTTTGTATTGGCCCCGAATATATTTGCATAATGTTATCATATCCCCTCTGAGGCAACATTTTTCTAAACTAAAGGGGTTTAAATTTGTTACCCTTTCTTCATAGCTAAAATGTTCCATTCCTTTTACTTTTTTTGACATTGTTTATTTTTTGCAGTGCAAAGAAAAAACAAACAAGCTTTAGGTGACATTTCCAGAGTAGACATAGCATGAGTGGGCATAGCATGAGTAGTTTCAGATATAACAATAGATATATGTCGAGATATTTGCACTTTTTAGTATTCAATCACTAACTAAACAGTAGAGATTATTCTCATATTTTATATGAAGTATTCACGCTAAAGATGTACAGTGCTAGTGCTGGGACATAGAGGATTAACAAGCTCACGTTTGAAGCATAGGCACTGCTTGCTTAAACTAGGTTAGATTACGGGCACTATGAGTAGTATTACGATAATGCAGTTAAGAGATAGGTAAAGACCACTGGGTTTACCTCAGACCGTCACTGCTCCTGTAAGTAAATTATGCGACTCAAGAATGTATAACACAAAAGGCCTAAACAGTATAGTATTCAAAGTGTATACTATATTTAAGCAATTAAGCAAGCATATTTAATTAAGCTAGGGACAGTTGGATTTGCTGTATGTAATATAATGGCCTCAGCTGGTCATGAGAAAGTCTCAGAGTAAAAGCTGGTATGTTGTCTCCTTATATATCCGTTGTTCAGCCGATGCCTGAGCTTGGAAGACTGGGGGCACATATGCCACTGGGTTGGGAGGCTCCAGAAGGACGAGTGCAGAGGGAGATCTACCTCAAGTCCCATGTCGGTAAAGAGGCCTGCATCTGGGAGCCACTGACTTGGGGGCTCAAAAAATCCAAGTCTATCTCCCATTTGAAGAGGCAGAAGGCCCTGATGTTGTGGTGCGCTGGTGGCAGCTGGTCCCCTGTCCGTGTGGACAATGCTGTGGGGTCTCACCCCTAGTGGCCCCCTAGGCCTGGGTGGGCTTGTAGCAGCGGGTCCATGTGCTGGAAGTATTTGAGTGCCCAGAGGGGGCCTGCTCCTTACTCACATCTCCCCTCCGTAATCCTCCCTTGGAGGTTGAGGCAGTGAAGCTTTTTGCTTTGCTTCCAGAGAGGCCCAAAAGCGGGCGAATATTTCATTCAGCCGTTGCAGGTAGAGTGCAACATACTCTTGCTTTGTTTGCTCAGATTGTGTGCTTTGTGTACCACAAGGAATGGCCATCTTGACCATGTGGAACATGATGTTGGTAAGTTCAATTGCAGTAGCAGTTGTGAGAGTCGGCACTTTAGTGGGGACCAGGATAACCCCCACCGGTCCAGAGGGGGATTGACGGGGCTGCAAAAAGGCTTCAGCCAAGTGTTCTCTCCGGGTCTAGTGATCCCCTGCTAATTGCCGGGCACGCTAGGCCACAGGTTTCAACAAAGGTGAGTGCTCACTCCAGGCATAGAACAGGTTAGGTAATTAGGGTGTCGATCTGCAGCTGAACCAATGTGAGTTCTGCATAGTTTTTAGGCGATTTAGCCGCAATTTCAAGTTTGGAGAACCGGAACTACAAGAAAGTGCATCCGGCCATGTTGAGGATCAGGCCCCACCACCTCCTTTTATTAATTTTGTAGCCCGTCTCTGCACTTTTTCACGTGCCATAATATCCTTCTTTAGAACAAGTGCCCAGAATATTCAAGATGTGATCTTATCAGTGATTTATAAAGAGGCACTTTGATATTCTCATCCAGAGAATTAATGCCCATTTTCATGCATGACAAAAAAACACACAAATGGGTCAACACTAAAATAACTTAACAATCACAAAAGGCAGCAACCCTAAAAGAGGATCCCTCTCAAGCCTTTAAAAAGATCTAAAAGAATGGCACAAAAAAAAAGGGCTGCGCCACATATACAACAGAATTTCAAAGACAGCTGACAAAGGCAAATGCAAGTCAATGGAGAAAATACACATTATATAGTCCAAAATAAAAGTTCTCACATAAAAGATGCCTCTAATTAACACGTAAGTGTGGCTGTGGGTGTTTGATAAAATGTAGGTTTCTTGGAATTGGAAGCTGTTGCTTGGGTGTCCGTATGTAAGAGAAGATTAAAAAGCAAAAAAGCAGCGAGAACCAATAGTGCAATATGTTAAACCTAATAAGATGGAGATAATAAAAAAGTGATATTACACTCACATTTAATAGAGCTATGACCACCTCTAGCGTATGTTGCGTACATTGGTACAATCCCCCCTTATAGGATAAGATGAAAAACATCTGCAGTGATGGAGATGCCTGAACACTAAAGAAAAGATTGAAAAGGCAACAGATAGTGCTCTCAATAAGATAATAAGACTTATTAAAATAAATAAAACAATGGTACTCACAAAGGTAGAGCAGACTCACTTCTGTTTGATGTCAGCATTGGTGGTATGATCCCCATCTGGGATTTCTATGGAGTAGGTGTTGTAGAATAAAGAATATATAAAAGTATAAAATAGTAGGAAAAAAAGATAATTGGCACAGTACGTGAGTGCAGTGATCAAGAAAACCTTTATTAATTAAAATACAAACTAATAACATCCATCCACGCGTTTCACCTGTGTGTTTTTGTTCTCTGTTTTTTTTTCATGTATGACAATACCTTACTGGCCTTAGCCACTGCTGCTTAACATTGCACATTGTTACGTAGTTTGTTATAACAATTCCCAAATCCTTCTCGTGTGTTGTTATCCCTAATTTGCTTCCATTTAGGGTATAAATTGCTTGTGCATTCTTTACGCCGAAGTGCATAACTTTGCATTTTTTCTACATACCTCTGCAGCAAAGTAATATCTTGCTCACATTGTATTACTTTACAGAATTTTGTGTCATCTGCAAATACTGAAACATGACTTTCAATGCTTTTTTTCAAGATTATTTATAAACATGTTAAATAGAAGTGGTCCAAAAACAGAGACCTGAGGGCACCATTTACTTGGGCACCTATTTTCTTTGCACAACTTCAATGATAAGCTAGACCATAAACGCCACTACACAGAAGGGCTCATGACTTTGAGACTGATGTTAAGCCATGTCTGCATTTTAGCCAGGGCCGGTGCGTCCCTTAGGCCAATTAGGCAGCCGCCTAGGGTGCTTTTTAAATGGGGGCGCCGGCACACAGCTTTACTGCTGGTTTGGGCTGCCCTTCTATATGGGACACATTCTGTACTGCGTGCCGAAGGTCATGGCACCGGGTGCTAGGGAGCACTTACATAGGGGCAAACTAGCGCTCAGTGCCATCAACCTCAGCACGCAAAGAGCACTGAGTGCTGCTCCCCCTACATACCTCATATCCCATCAGCTCAACGGGCGAATCGTACAACTGCTCCGCCCCTTCCCCTGTACTTGGGGTCAAGTGGGCTGGAGGATCGCAGGGGCAGAGCTAAGAGAGCATGAAGGCAACCAGGCCTGGACTGGGACCCACAGAGAGAAAACATGAAATGAAGGCAAGTGGGGGACTTTATAGTGTGTGTGTCAATCTATTTCAGTCAGTATGTTTGTGTGCTTAGGTCAGTGTGTGTCTGTCTGAATCAGTGTGTGTGTCTGCTTGGGTCAGTGTGTGTGTATCTGCTTGGGTCTGTGTGTGTGTGTCTGGATCAGTGTGTGTGTCTGCTTGCGTCTGTCTGTGTGCATGTGTCAGTGTGTGTATCTGCTTAGGTCTGTGTGTGTGTCTGGATGAGTGTGTGTGTATCTGGATGAGTGTGTGTGGGCGTCTGGATCAGTGTGTGTCTGCTTGGGTCTGTGTGTGTGCATGGGTCAGTGTGTGCACCTGCTTGGGTCTGTGTGTGTGTCTGGATCAATATGTGCCTGCTTGGGTCTGTGTGTGTGTTTGGATCAGTGTGTGTGTGTCTGTCTGGATCAGTGTGTGTGTGTGTGTGTCTGCTTGGGTCTCTGTGTGTTTGTCTGGATCAGTGTATGTGTCTGCTTGGGTCTGTGTGTGTGTGTCACTCTGCGTGAGTCAGTGAATGTATTTGTACATTGGTCACTGATTGTGATTGTGGAACATTGAGTGTGAGTGAGTGAGTGAGTGAATGAATGTAAGTCTGTGTGTTTGTGTGTGTATATGTAAACATGGCATTGTAGCGGAGGTGTCACTAGTGGCTGTCACTGTGACAGCTACTAGAGTCTTGTTTAACCCTTCAAGGTAAGGCAATGTTTTATCTTGTGGGGTTAAACCTACAGGACCACTGTGGAGCGAATGGGGCAGCAAATGTTTTTTTACTAGGTCGGCAAAAATCCTTGCAACGGCCCTGATCCTAGCTTGTTCTTAGACTGGGTCCTGCTAGAACCCTCAACCAATAACCAATTACTTACACAACAAACTTGAAGGGAGGAGTGGGGAAGTGAAAGGAGAGTGGAAGAGGACAGACATACGTATATATATATATATATAGAATTTTGTTTCCTTCCCTTCCCTCTCTTGTGTGGGATATTTTGGAGAACTAGGGAGCTCTGTCAGTTCTCTAGAGCTCTGTCATTGGCATTTTGTTAAAAAGTGTTATGTTGATTTTACTCTAAAGGGTTTTTTTTAAGCATCCTATTACAACTGACTTCTTTTGTGAATCAGAGCGAAGCAACGCAGAGGAGGCTTGGAGACATGCATTGTATTTCTGTGATACTCCTGATTACTCATCTCTGTTATACCTGTTTAGAGATCTGTGCATCTCCAATTTCTGCATTTACGTTTTACATTATTAGGAGTCTGCGTGTCCCATCATTCTATTATGCTTCTATGCTTTGAAAATTGAAATGTTATCCTAAAGGGACACTATAGTGGTCTGGGAATAGTGTCCCTATTTCACTTAGTGCTACAATGTAATATATTGCAGTTCTAGAGAAACTGCAATGTTTACATTGCTGCACAAAGTAAGCCTCCAGTGGCTGTCTCTCAGACAGCTTCCTGGCTGTTACCGGACATCAGATTTCTCCCTGTAGGAGGAAAACATTGATAAAGTGCATGCGACAGCTCATTGCGGGACTGAGGAGGAGGCGGAGCTGCAACCCAGCGCCGAGGGACATTGGCCCTGGAGTAAGGTAAGTAAACAAAGGGTATTTAACCCTTTATTCACGTGTGGGGGTAGGGGGAGACAGAGGGAGCTATTGTGTCAGGAATACAGCTTTGTATTCCTGGCACTTATAGTATCCCTTTAATAAAAAGAAATTTACACAAAAAAAAATTATAAAGATACTAACCTTTTAAACCAGCAGAGCTACTAAACTGTAGACATTCTGTACTAGCACAGGGCTTTTGGGATCCGGTTGTGACAGCATGAAATACCGTTGGTCCTTGTCTCACAAAGCAAATGATAATGTGAGAATGAAACAGAAAGGAATCAAAATGATAAAATATATTTTAAATTAAGACTTTTTGCCATTCCAAGTCAAGTTTAGTCTATGTTAATTGATGGTGTTCTCTGCAATTTCAATAAGAAGTCCATATGTCTTATGGTTTGGTTTTGACCAAATATTTTATTAAATGAACATTTTCATAATTCAGCTCTCTATGCTTATGTTGCATCGTTGCTTTAATGCTTGGTCATCTCTACTTTTTAATCAGTCACCTGTAGTCACTTTAAAATAAAGCAGTCCGGGTTCTTTTATTTTAACCCTGCAATGTAAAACATTACCGTTTTTTAGAAACGGATAGATTTGTTAAGGGGTAAAGTACGTGTATGTTTGCCTAGACTCTCTACACATGCAATTCAAGATCTGATTTAGATCTTACAACTTACATGCTCATACTCATAGTTAATAATTCCTGATATACTACTTAATTCTGTCTGGCGTGGCTCGAGGAAAGTCTTGTATGAACACTAAACTTTTCTAATCGGATCTCTGACAGCAGAAATTATACAGCTCCACCCTGTAATCATAATTATTATCACTCCATTTCTCTTCGGGTAATCTGCTAATTAATTTTATCAAAACAATAAAAATGTCAAAGGGATTTTTATTGATGATATATCGTCTGCTACGACAAACGTGCCAGGTACTAAAACCTAGAGCAGGGATAAGGAAACCGTCAAAACTCCAGATGCTGTGGACTACATCTCCTATAATGCTCTTACAACCATAATGTTGGCAAGGAATCAGGAGAGATGTCGCCCAGAACAACCTTTAGTGTCGAAGGTTGCCAACACCTGCCCTCAACCACTGAAAAAGAGCAGGATTCCAAATCTTATTTATGTGAAACCTACTTTAGATTTAATTATTGATAAATGAGCCGTGTTATCATTTAAATATTGAGTTTGTTTAAAGACAAAGAATGTTCTCCCCAGTGCACATTGATATCATTTTCATGAATATTTATTGCCATTAATTTACCCTACCGCTTTGATTGACGTTGATATGCAGACGGGAGAAGTTGGAATAAGAGAGGTGAACTCGAGAGAGAAGAAAATGACTACATATTATTTGCAAGGCAAAAGTCAAATACAGGTCTGAACAGGATGTAGGGTGCATTTGAGGACATAATTTTGCTATCTATCTCATGCATGTATTATGTGCCATTTATTCACATTTATACCTGCTCTCATCTCTACTTTACACTATATGTCCAGATGGAGTAATTTTCGCACCAATGGAAAAAAAAATCCCACCAGTAATGCACACCAGCTTGTATCTTGAACCATTCCAGAACAAAACAATAAAACACAAGGAAACTGTCACATTTTTACAGATGTCCAAAGTTTCACCTCCAGCTGCTCATTTGTTTTTCTATTTCTCATTTTTCCCAGAGCTCTGTATGTTTGACTACCACATTTGCTGATTTCCAGTGGCCTGTGGCCACCAGCCTTTTACATATTTTTGATGTTTTTTTTTTTTTGAAGTACCTAATTAATATTGTTCATCTTCCTGCACTCAGGAAGCCTCCAATGAACATTGCATTGTACTTTTTTCAAACTGAGTGTGATTCCTTATTATTATTATTTATTAAGCGCCAACGAGTTCCGTAGCGCTGTACAAAAATTGGTGGACTAACAGACACGTATTTGTAACCAGGCAAGTTGGACGCACAGGAACAGAGGGATCGAGGGCCCTGCTCAATGAGTTTACATGCTAGAAGGAGTGGGGTAAAATGACACAAAAAGGGTAGAAAAGTAGGTTGCTAGAATAGTGTTCATTGAGGGGTTAGTGCTAGGTTTGATGACAGTTTTAGGAGAATAATCAGGGTGCAGGGAGAGAAAGCTGTTGACAGTTTATTTTTTTATTCTTACGAAGGCAAATAAATTGTTACATTTGTTTACTGGACATTTAAGAAAAAAATCCCAAACTGAGGACAATAAAGTAATATCAAAGCATTTAAATCTAAAACAAATGTTTGCCCTCTTGAGTTTATGCTCTGGACCTTTGTTGGTGAGAATCTGTTATCATTGAATCTTCTTATTTACAACATGATTGTTTTTAAATTGTATCATTAATTTCTGCCTTGCGACCTTCTCAGAGAGAGCCTGAGGTTTGGGTCTATATCAGCCAATGCGATGTACATATCTGACACTGCTACACAGTATCCGTGATGACACTCTTACAACCAGATATTTCTGTTCCTTTTATAAATACTTTCAGGACAGTGCAATTCCTGTGGAATAGTTAGTTATTACATTCTTCTTCACATACTATACTAATTATAGATGTGTCTGCCATGCGATGGGAAACACCCCAAACAAATGTTACATCAGCATTAATGAGGCTGATTAATTCATTTACACAATAACAAAAATTATAAAATCAACAGGTATACCAACATCGTCAAATCTCTCATCGTTTAGTACTTCAGATAATACTTACTCTGCCCTGTGGTCAGGAGACACCTTTTTAATATCTATTTAATGTCCTCATACTCCAGACAACCTTTAATGTTAATTCCCTGTTACTAGGATAATGTTCACCTCAAGGGAAATGATTGATCATGTTAATACGAGTAATACTAATTAAATATTATTTCTTCCATTTGGCAGTTTTTTTTAAAATTAATTTATATCTGACTCAGGGAGTACAATGTATTAAGTTACAATGTGTACAGACATGTCCAATAATGCAAGTATTGATAGCAAACAATACAAATCTGTCCAAGTATGGGCCATCAAAGACAGATTGCAAGGACTTGGCTCAATATGCCTGTCTTTTAATTTGTTAACATTACGATCAAGGCTTAATTGTATTTTTTTTTAGTTTGCTCCTGTAAAAGATGCATACACTGATCAGCCACAACATTAAAATCAACTGCCTAATGTCACGTAGGCCCTCCTTGTGCTATCAAAACAGCTCTGATGTGTCGAGGCATGGACTCCACAAGACCGCTGAATGTGCCCTGTGGTATTTGGCACCAAGACATTACCAGTAGATCCTTTAAATCTTGCAAGTTGCGAGGTGGAGCCTCCGTGGATCGGATTTGTTATTCCAGCACATCTCACAGATGCTCAATCAGATTGACATCTGGTAAATTGGTGGCCAAGGCAACATCTTAAACTCTGTATCATGTTCCTCAAACCCTTCCTGAACATTTTTTGCAGTATGGCAGGCTGCATTCTGCTACTGCCATTAGGGAATACCATTGACATGAAGGGTTGTACATGGTCTGCAAAAGTCTTTAGGGGTCACCATGGGCACTCTGACTGGTCTGTGGCTACACAGACCCATATGCAGCAAACTGTGATGCACTGTGTGTTCTGACACCTTTCTATCATGGCCAGCATTAAATTCTTTAGCAATTTGATCTACAGTAGCTTTTCTGTAGGATCGGACCAGACAGACTAGCCTTTGCTTCCCATGTACATCATTGATCCTTGGGCACAGATGAAACTCATGCATACCGGGAACAAGACGTTTTGGAAATGTTCTGACCCAGTTGTCTAGCCATCACTATTTGGACACTGTCAAAGTCACTCACATCTTTTCACTTGACCATTTTTTCCTACTTTCAACAAATGAAATTGAAGAATTGACCGTTTACTTGATGCCCAATATATTCCACCCCTTGACAGGTGCCATTGTAACAATATAATCAATGTTATTCACTTCATCTGTCAGTGGTTTTAATGTTGTGGCTGATGAGTGTATTCTACATGGATGTGCAAATCCTTTCACAAAATCCCCCCTCTGACGCCCCCTGTCTAACCCGATCCAGACTTTCTGTGGCAATCCAACATGTTTTTCTAACACTATAGAGTCAGGAATACACATTTGTATTCCTGACCCTATAGTGTTCCTTTAAGGCTGCAGAGCATCATGGGAATTGTTCAGAAATATCCAGAGGGGTGGTGGGGTCAAATATGGCCATTATTCTACAAGTTAAGGATATGCCAGACAGAACCTGCCTAAAGGAATATAACAACTTCTTTGAAATTACATTGTTGTGGTGGCAGGAGGTCCCTGGCTCTATTTTGCCTGAGGGGATTAAACCGTTTTCAAACAGGTGATCCCAAAGGTTAGCTCTAGTGCTGGATCTCCCCATCGCTGGTGGCATCTGACTTCTTAAATTAACTTTCAGGGAGTGTTGAGTGCCATAGGACAGATGCAAGATTGGCTAGAGTGGTCTAAGCCAATAAGGCACCTTTTTTATGATTGGGGAGCTAACGATTCAATACTTGAAGTGTTCCTTTGAGCTGTAAAGACACAATGGTCAAAAGGCATATCCTCAGCTGTTGTTGAACACCGACAGTCATGCTGATCTGCCAATATTAAAGCTTCAAAGAACAAGTTACTGGCAAAGGATCAAGGTAGTCGTGCTTCTCAAACAGATGGGTATCTACCTGGTAAAATTGTTGGTTTCAGTATCAGCAAAACATGAAACGCTTACTGTTTCCTTTTATTTTTCAATCACAAAAGTTGGTAGGAATTATAATCCTTTCTTCTTAAGGCCTCCGCAGATCTTAATCTTACCTTAATTCCCTCAATTACCTTAAACCTGCAATTTTCTGGCCACTCCGTAGCCTACATAATACAGTAAACTACTGCTCATGTTTTCTAAGAATGGTGTATCAAATATCTGAGAATAAATATCACTCCCAACCACAATTATATTAGGCTAAATGTTAACCTATCATTTTTGGCCTCTGTAGGGAGGTAGCTGACTGAAATCACTATCCCTTAAAATTATCTTGCACCTTTATTTACAATAATATAAAGAAGCTCATAAAAATATTATATCAATTTTGGTAGGCTAAGAAAAAAGACTACTGGCTAGCAGACATGATCTATTTTTACCAATGGAGCTTAAATTTGTGTTTACGCACAGGTTTATTCACAGCAGTGGGAACTAAGAAGAACTAGGTAGAGGTCTTTAACCCCTTAAGGACTGGACTGTTTTTGCGATGTTGTACATTTGCGACCAGGCATATTTTTACACTTTTGTGGTGTTTGTGTTTGGCTGTAATTTTCCGCTTTCTCATTTACTGTTCCCATACAAATTATATATTGTTTTTTTCAGGACAAAAGGGCTTTCTTTACATACCATATAATCTCATTATATAATCTCATGTATTTTAATTTAAAAAAAATAAAAAAATATGATGAAAAATTGAAAAAAATACATGTTTTTTGACTTTTACTTGAAAAATCTTTTACTCATCTACAAAAGCGAATGAAAAAAACTGCTAAATAGATTCAAAATTTTGTCCTGAGTTTAAAAATACCTAGTGTTTACGTGCTTTTTTGCTTTTTTTTGCATGTTATAGGGCTATAGGTACAAGTAGGATATTGCGGTTTCAAAACATACATTTTTAAAATTTATCAATAGTGACACTGTAACACTATTATCTGTCATAAATCTCTGAATAACACCCCACATGTACATATTTTTTTTAAAGTAGACAACCCAGGGTATTCAATATGGGGTATGTCCAGTCTTTTTTAGTAGCCACTTAGTCGAAAACACTGGCCAAAGTAAGCATTCATATTTGTTTGTGTGTGAAAAAGTAAAAAAACTAAATTGAACGCTAATTTTGGCCAGTGTTTGTGACCAAGTGGTTACTAAAAAAGACTGGACATACCCCATTTGCAATACCTTGGGTTGTCTTCTTTTGCAAATGGTATGCCATCATGGGGGTAATTCTCATTCCTGGGCTACCATACGCTCTCAAAGGCAACGTAACCAACCTGGCCATTTTCAATGTAAAAATATTTGACCCATATATTTGACCTTGTAACTTTCAAAAATGCTATAAAACCTGTACATGGGGGGTACTGTTTTACTCGGGAGACATCGCTGAACACAAATATTAGTGTTTAAAAACTGGAAAACGTATCACAACAATTATATCATCAGTAAAAGTGCTGTTTGTGTGTGAAAAATGCAAAAAAAGTAACTTTCACTGACAATATCATCGCTGTGATATGTTTTACTGTTTTGAATCACTAATATTTGTGTTCAGCGAAGTCTCCCGAGTAAAACAGTACCCCCCATGTACAGGTTTTAGGGTGTCGTAGAACGTTACAGGGTAAAATACAGTGCTAGCAAATTAAATTCTCTGGAATTTCGGCCTGGGTTGGCAGGCAGGTCCCTCAAATTGCAATCAATAAAATTACTGAATTATGTAAAAATATTACATGAATACGCACGTAGAATTTAAATATATATGCATATTTATATATTTGAAGTCTACGTGTATATTTATATAATTATTTATGTAATTTTGTATATGGACGTATGTATATTTCTTATTATTTTTATTTATTTTTATATACATAGATATATATACAAATTCATTCTAAGTGTATTTTGATATAAATATATATATATTAATTTTAAAATACAGTTAGAATAAAATTTCATATAGCTATATAATTTTTTTTAATTTTTTATTATTATTTTAAAAAAAAATATTTAATTTAAATTACTTATTATTTATATTTTATAATAATATATATATACAATATATATAGTTATTATATATATTATATATATACGTGTGTAATTTAATTATAAGTGTATTTTTATATTAATATAAGTACATAATAATATAAAAATACACTTAGTATGACATGATATATATGATAGATAGACATATATTATATAGATATATTATATGTCTATATATCATATATACACATATATAATTATTATTTTTTTTTTATTAACACTAACTTTATTTTTTTTTCTGATTTTACACATGCAGGGAGACTGCCTGTCAGCACAGACAGTCCCCCTGCAGGCAGACACTAGGACACCTATTGTGACCATGTGATCGCTGTGTTAAGCGATCACATGGCCACAGGGGTCCTAATCTGCCGTGGGGAGACTGTCTGGCCTGCAGGCAGTCTCCCCACAACCGGAGCAACGCTGATCGCCGCCGGGGGAACGACGGCGATCAGGTAAGTAGCTCTGACCGTTAGGACAGTTCAGGACCGTCATCGGTCGGCAACGCAAAAATGCCGATGACGTTCCTGAACCGTCCTCGGTCCTTAAGGGGTTAAGGGACACTCCACTGCCCAAATAAAAACAATAACAATCACTGTTTAGTGGATATCCCAAATGAAAACAAGCATGCATTTCATTATGTGTTTTATTCATTGGTGATGAAAACAGCCTGCAAAAGCTGCAGATCTCTTGTCTACTGCGAGCCCTCCCCTTCTTACCCCTCCCAGGCTTTCTGTGTCTGTCCAATCACAGACTTCCCAATGTAGCTCAATGAGAAGTCTTTGTAAGGCAGGTGGTATGGGAAATTGCTGCCTCTTTAGCTAAGGTAGAATAACTGGGGTTGGGAGGTATGGAGAGATAGCTGGGGAGGCTAGGGAGAGAATACTCAGGGGCTAACAAGATATAATTGGAGGATTTGGCTGGGGAGAGATAACAAATTTATAAAAAAAATATATGTGAATTACAATCCCATAATGCTCTGCAAACCTCTACGTCTGGTCGGGCTTTGTGGGAATTTCACTTTACAATTATGTGGAGAGCATGTTCTACAATACGAAGCCTATAATACGGGCTGATCATCATGGGAATTGCTCTCTGTTTTATTTATGGGGGTTTACAACCTAATCTCTCCCTTGCATTGCACTTACAGGAACACTGACATACACACTAACTGACACTGCACTCATACAAAAGGGGCAGCTGCCCCGGGCCAGTCATTTCTAGGGGCCCAAAGCAGCTGCCCCCTGAGCCCCCGTGGTACTACAACCGCGGGCCGCACGATGAGTGGGCCAATACTCTTAGGGCCACCTGATAGCAATGAGTCTGCAGGGGCCCGGCCAGCGCTGCAGTGTTTTAACAGCACAACCAGGCCCGCTGTGATGAGGTCAGCGCTAGAAGGAAGTGTAGTCACTTCCTCCTAGCTAACACAGAGAGTACTGCGCGGGAGGGAGGAAGAGAGCAGACTGAGAGCCCAACTCCCAACAGCCTCAGACAGCCACCGGACCCCAGGGAAGTCACCCTCCTGCACCCAAAAGGTAGGAAACAGGAGGGTGCAGGGCCATCATTAATGCAGGGCAAAAGGGGCAGCTGCCCTGGGGCCAGTCATTCCAGGGGGCCAAAGCAGCTGCCATCGTGCGTGTGGCACTACCACCACGGACTGCACGATGAGGGGGCCCATCGGGTGGCCCAGGCTCTTAGGGCCACCCGATAGCAATGACCCTGTGATGAGGTCAGTGCTAGGAGGAAGTGCAGTCACTTCCTCCCAGCTAACACGGAAGAGTACTGCGCGGGAGGGAGGTAGAACGCAGACTGAGAGCCCAACTCCCAACAGCCTCAGAAAGCCACCGGACCCCAGGGAAGTCACCCTCCTGCACCCAAAAGGTAGGAAACAGGAGGGTGCAGGGCCATCATTAATGCAGGGCAAAAGGGGCAGCTGCCCCGGGACCAGTCATTCCAGGGGGCCAAAGCAGCTGCCATCGTGCGTGTGGCACTACCACCACGGACTGCACGATGAGGGGGCCCATCGGGTGGCCCAGGCTCTTAGGGCCACCCGATAGCAATGACCCTGTGATGAGGTCAGTGCTAGGAGGAAGTGCAGTCACTTCCTCCCAGCTAACACGGAGAGTGCTGCGTGGGAGGGAGGAAGAGAGGAGGAGCGCGGACTGAGAGAGAGCCCAACTCCCAAAAGCCACTGGACCCCAGGGAAGTCACCTCCTGCACCCAAAAGGACTAAAATGTTATATTTTCCATGTGTGTCTGTTTGTGTGTGTATCTGTGCCTGTATGTGTATATGCATGTGTATCTGTGTTTCTGTATGCATATATGCATGTGTTTCTGTGTATCTGTCTGTAAGCGTATCTGTGTGTGTCTGTATGTGTTTCTGTCTGTATGTGTATATGCATCTATGTGTGTATTTGTCTATATGTGTATCTGTGTGTCTTTATGTGTCTCAGTCTGTATGCGTATCTGTCTGTACGTGTGTCAGTGTGTGTCAATGTTTGCATCTATATGAGTGTCATCCTGTGTATCTAAATGTTTGTCATTAAGTGTGTGTGTGTGTACCTTCAGGTGTGTCAGTGTGTTTATATGTGTATCTCTTGGTATGTGTGTCTGTGTAGTAGCATGTGTGCCCCTGTGTGTGTGTGTCTGTATATGTGTCAGTGTGTGTGTGTGTCTGTACGTCTGTATGTTTTAGTGTGTGTCTGTGTAACTGCATGTATGTCCGTGTATGTATCTGTATGTGTGTTATTGTGTTTATCTGCATATATGTCAGGGTGTGTTTTTCTGTTTATCTGTGTGTGTGTCAGTTTGTGTCTCTGTATATCTGTTTATGCACTTGTGTGTATCTGTCTTTGTATGTCTGTGTATTTGGATGTATGCAGCTGTGTATGTCTGAGCCTGTGTATGTGTGTATCTGTATTTGTGTCAGTGCTTGCATCTGTGTGTGTATTTTCTTTAGGTGAAAAATAAGTGTGGCTAAGTCTACGATCTATGTGTGTGTGTTTTTTTGTGTTTACTTTATGTGCCTCTTTGGGTGGAAGGTGTGTTTTCATGCAAGATGTTGGGAGGGAGGGGACCAGAGGGCCCAAGCAAATGCTTTCCCAGGGTCCAATCAACATTACAGGATCACTATAGTGTCATGAAAACAAACCTGTTTTCCTGACACTATGTCATCCTTGGGGGACCCTCGCCCTCAGGGTCCCCCTTCTGTGGCGCTGAAGTGGTTAAAACCCTTTCAGCAGTTTACCTTAATCCAGCGCTGGGTTCCCTCGGTGCTGGTGACCTCTCCTCCCCCCGCAGACGTCAACAACAAAAAGTTGCAATTGAAACATTTTTAGTTTCGCTACATGGCTTTAAATTTAAAATTCACATTGAATTTCTGACAATTCTCACTTTACTGAATAATCCTGTCAGTCTCTCTGTCCCCTCTCTCTCATCCACAGCTCTTCTGTCACTCTCCTGGGTGGGATGTCTCTCAGTCTCTCTCTCTCTCCTCCCTGATGTGGTGTTTCCTGGGCAGTCTCTCCTCCCCCCCAGGGATGCCTGCCTGGGGGTTTCCCCTCCATGTGGGCTGTCTCCGGACAGTCTCTCCCTCCCTCCTAGTATGTCTCTCAGGTGGTCTCTCTCCTCCCCATGGTATGTCTCTAGGCAGTCTGTCCCCGCTCCGGTGGGATGTCTCTGGGCTGTAGCTCCTTCACTGTGGGCTGTTTCCTGGCAGTCTCTCCTCCCCGGTAGGCTGTCTCCTGGATGTCTCCGTGCAGTCTCTCCCCTCCCCGGTGGGCTGTCTCTCCCCTCCCCGGTGGGCAGTCTCCGGGCTGTCTCCTGGCCGGCTATCCTCGGTCAGTATAGTGATGATGCCGGTCTCGGGGTGGTTGTCTGTCCCCGGGGTCCTGGTGGTGTTGCTGGCCGCGGGGGTCCCGGTGCAGGCCGGTCTCTATTCGGCCGATGAGCCGCTGGTGTCTCTGGCCGGGTCCGCCCGCTCCCTCCTGCTCGGCTCCAGCAGCTCCTGGCTGGCAGAGTTCTACGCTTCATGGTGCGGACACTGCAGGAACTTCAAGGAGACCTGGAGCGCGCTGGCCAGGGATGTACAGGGTGAGCCACTTATTACTATTATAATATTATTATTATTATACATTGTTATATTATTATACTATTATATTATTATATCTTATTATACATTCTATTATTATTATACGTTATTATATTATATCTTATTATACATTACATTATTATATTATTATACATTATATTATTATTATATTATACATTATATTATTATTATACATTGTTATATTATTATACACTATTATATTATTATATTATACACTATTATATTATTATATTATATCTTATTATACATTATATTATTATTATTATTATTATTATACATTATTATATTATTATATTATATCTTATTATACATTATATTATTATTATTATACATTATATACCATGGAGACTTGGAGCGCGCTGGCCAGGGATGTACAGGGTGAGAAACTTATTATATTATATCTTATTTCCATCAATATGCGGTGTAACTACAAGTCGGCTTTTGAGCAAAGTAAATGTTCAGAGACTTGTATACAACAAGCCTGTAGGTTGTACATACGTCTTTGACAAACAAAAGTGCACATTCAAGCTTCTAAGGTTACAAGTATAAAGTTAGTGTATAGATTGGTCTTACAATTGGACAGGTATACCTAAACATGTCATCGCTCCTTAACAAGCCATGTGTTGAGTACACAACCGTAACTTTGCAGCTCGGGGCTGCTGCACAGGGGTATATATCTGTATCATAAATGAGTTATTGCCAGGTAATCGGTGAGTGGGGGATCTGTCTTAGGGGGTTGGGATCAGGCAGTGAGCCATATGCGTCAGTCGGCTCAGGGCATAGGGATCGTAGGGGGTTAGGGTGGTATGGCAAGAGGGGCAGAAGGAAGAGCGAGTGGTAGTTGAAGTAAGAGAGTAGGTAAGAAGTAAGTAAGAGAAAAAAATAAATTAAAAGGGGACGGGGGGAGTTAATTTAGGTGCTTGTTATCCGCAGGCAATGTACATCGGCCATGTGGCCCATGTCTGGGTACACCTGTCGGAACCCTGTAGGGCTGCTGTCATTGATTCCATGGCATAGATTTCTCCTACCCTATCAACCCATTGCTGGACGGTTGGCACATCCGTCTGTTTCCAGTACGTGGGTATCAGGGACTTTGCTGCAGTCAGCAGATGTTTTGTCAAATACTTTTTTGGTAGGATTTCAATGTCATACTAGTATGGTGGAATAGCATGGGCAAAGGCTGGAGGGGCACCAAGAAATTTATAGCTCTGCCCATCTGTGCATTATTGTACATCTTATTATATATTAAGAAGACATGTAGCATGCTGGCCAGGGATTTACAGGGTGAGCGAGTTATCAATTTTCCTATTATTAATCATTATATATCTTATATCTTATAATTATTATTAATCATATACAATATTAATAATAATACTCCCCAGGCTGTGCTCACCCTTTACATCCCTGGCCAGCGCGTTTCAGGGTGCCTTGATATATAATGTTAATAAGAAGATATATATTGGAGTAATGATAAGATATAATTCGTTCACCCTGTACATCCCTGGCCAGTGCGCTTCAGGTCTCCTTGATCTATAATGTATATTATTATATATATATATTAGCTGTTAAGTGCATGTTTGGCTGTTTGTGAGTTGCTGTGAGTGACGTCTGGGTAGCTGATGTGTTGTTCCCATCACCCCATCAATTTATTATGATTGTAATAAGATTCATGTTTCCCCCTCTTCCTTTCTTACCTTGGGCAGAGAAGAAATGTACCATTTCCTGGAGGTCACATGGGACTGGTGGGAGGAGCTCGTGGTCTGCACCTCTGGCTGGTGCAGATCACTGTAAATGCTCCTTCCAGTCCGATACCGGGAAGGGCCATTTAAAGTAAACTGCAGGTTCTTTGTAGGAGTGAGGGAGCGCTGGGCCAGTCAGCGAGATCTTTTGATCTCCCTGTCGGCTTGTGCAGCAGCTGGGCTACAGTGTAAGAGCAAGCCCTCCAGCTCTGTTAATGTGAGCCTGGGCACAGCCCATGTGCACTGCTATGGCTGTGTAATCGCATAGTGACAGTCAGCCACGGGTAGAAAAACTGCTGCACAACTATATAGACTGTTCCTCCTATAAAATATTTTAAAAAACCACAACGTACTGCATTCATATAGACACCGTATAACCAAATTGTGGATTTATTTAATTTGTGTAATTTCTTAGTGTGAATTCTTCCTCTTGTGTTTCTTTATCCCTTACTCCTAAATTGTAAGATCATCTAAGCAAGGCCTTCTTACTCTGTAAATATTATTTTCAATGTTAATTACTTGTCATATATAAAAAGAAGAAACAGAAGGAATGAGGTGTTGGAAGACAACCAACACCTCAAGCTCTGCAAAGAGGTTACTAGGCGAATAGGGGGCTTAACCCCAAGGAAGGAAGTAGACAAAAAAAGAAAGAAATAAGCTAGAAATTCACCATACATACGAATATGAAGGTAGAAACCTGCTCATTCGATGGTCTATACCCCTAAAGTAAGTGTACTTGTCATAAGGAGGGGAAAGATCAAACACAGAAAAGGAAGGGGGAAGAAAGGGAGGGAAAACGTGGATATTATACCTTTAATAGAACAAGGGATACACACAAAATATAATAATGATAAAAAATCAAACTGGCTCTATGTATGGCAAGAAGGGAAATATCCTTTGTAAAAATTCATATAGGGAAGTGAGGTATAACCTCACAGATATTGGATCTAAGCCAACACAATTGCGAAGTACTGGGGACCAAAAGACAGGCCACTAAAGAGGTATAGACTAATTGCAAGTATAGTGTTAGACTTAGAAAATGAAACTGCCAGAAATCTGGTCTTAGCCAATAAATCCTGCCAGAAATCTGGTAAATAGGCAGGGGGGTATTACAGATAGAAATATAAATATAAAGTAAGCCTTGGTAGTAAAGGTACCCCTAAAGGGAGCACAGTAGTTGCTAGTGCAGGTTAGTAGGTAAAGCTATGCAGAGGGTTAATATAGGAGAAGTGCCCACCTGAGCATAGAGAAGCATACAGATACATGTAGCTTATTACCAAAAACAAGAAAGGCCTCCAAACAATGCCCTGTCCGTAACCTGAATAACCCTGCACAAACTAACTGACTCCCCTGAAAACAGGGTAACTAGGTACAATGCCTGCTGCTTCAACGGCAGCCTAAAGGCTATCCCTATCACTTAACCCCCTCACTGCCCAAATAAATAAATAAATAAATAAAAAGAAAAACAAAAAAATTAAATAAAGTAAAATGAATGCATCGGCATTCTGAAATGCTCGACGCGCGTTTCGGTGTGTAAGAACGCCTTTGTCAAGAGCTACAGAGTGTCTGCCTACCTGGCCGCGTTAATCGACCCGCCTCTAAAGTCCCATCAGCCAATCACTGTCCTTCGGGCCAACCTCCCTGAACGTATTACTCCGATATCCAATCAAACTAGAGAAGGAGGGGGGGGAGAGGGGAGGGAGCACAGGAGGACGTCGGCCCACGTGGGTGGCGGGCGTGTCATTCGCTTAGCCACATCAGTGAGCCAACCTCCAGGATAACGTCATGCCTACTGCTACCAATACTCGATTGGAAGGCGCAGAGAGGGCGTGGTGGGAGTCCGTGGGTGATAGACACATAGACTCTATCGAAACCGCACTAGGAATTGAAGTAGTAATAAATGGAATGCAAATAAAGGTATGTACAGTGTGTTCCCATGGACTCCCCACAGTTCAAATCAAATCTAGAATGGACATCTCAGTAATCAATAGGAAAGATGGGCATTGTAAACTGGTATTGGATGTGGCTATAATAGCCTTAAAATGTAACACTTATACAATGTGATCAGATTCATCAAATTACTTGTCATATATCCCGATAATTATAAAGTGCTGCTGATAATGTTGGTGCTATATAACTAGTGGTGGTGATAATGATAACCGTAGTGATCATAGTTTTACTAAACTAGCATTGTGAACAGTATACGAGGAAATAACAAATTATAGACCTAGTTGGTGGATACCCTGCAATTTTCTAAGTGCGTGTTCTATTCTAGTTTGTAGGAAAGGTGTATACCCAAACATTGTGCTAATTAATTTCCTGTGTTTCTAGCCACACACTGCCAGATTATCCCATGTGTCTTCCAGTGTTTTTCTAACGTAGTAATGCCTTGCTTGCATTGTTTTTAGTTAATTAATTAAGGGAAGTGTTGGATGGGTTTTTAACCCTTTCAACACATGGGGGTTATTGGGAGAGGGACACTATGTGATGTGTTAGGAATACAGTTTTGCATTCCCAACGATATAGTGTTACATTAATCAGGCTTCTCCAGATTGAGCAAGTGCTAAAGATCAAAATGGAGTATGACGATCAATTGATAGGCCTATAGAGCAACTACATCTCTCAGGTGAACAATTGTGCTTTTGTGGTTTTGGCACCAGGAGTGCTCTGGTTTACGGATGGTTTGACTTTTTACCTAGGGTCTGCTAGGCAGAGAAAGGTTAAGACCCATGGGGTGCTAGCAAGTTACCAGTTTGCGCCCCCCATGATTGTTCCATGATTAGCAACCATTGGTTTCTGTAGGTCATAACAAACGTGGCATCATGCAGGGCTGAGGTGCAAAAGGGATAATTTTCGCTTGGATTCCAAAATTTTTTTATTTTTGTGCTTCACCCCTGTTACCAGAAGAGGACACATCAATCTGATTTTGATATCGTTTCTGTGCTTCCATAACAAAACAAGACTATAATAATTTATTATTATTAATAGTAATGATAATGAAACAGCAAAATATCACTCTATATCCTTCCTATAGGCATTTGGATATATTGAAAGGGTTTTGTGCATTTGAGAACTGGCTTGTGAAATTTTTATTTAAATCAGCAAAGTTGTTAATGTGTTTCCCAAAATCTGTTATTTTGGTGTAACAAAATAATACAAAATACAAAACAATCTATTGTTAATTTTAAAAACTCCTAGATTGTTTCAAGACATCTTCCCTAGGAGAGAGAAAGTCAGAATCATTCTGGAAGTGACCGTCTGCTTTAAATAGAAATCAAAGGTAAAATATATAATTGAGGGGGTTGAAGTGAACGAGCAATTTGCTGTCTGAAGCAAATAATATGATAGACCCTGCTTGGCAGACATGAGAGAGACTGGAACCAATTATGGTGCAAAAAGCCACATTTAAAATTCTGATGTTCTCGGCTGTCCCTGTTTAGCTCTCTGCCTTAAAGGAATACTACAGTGCCAGGAATACAAAACGTTTTAAATGGCACAAGTTACTTCATCTGGCATTCATTGGGTTAAACCTTTGCAAATCTGTGCATCAGTGTTTACCTTTTGAATGTGTGAAGTGATTGGTAGAAAGGTATTCCTACCTTGTTTAGCTGCACACGTGGAACGAGCAGTCTGAGCTCACGTTGTGCACCTGACACTGTTTTGCAGACGAAGGGTGTATTTATGCACATACATAACGTCTAGAAACCAGTATTGTTACGGTGTGAAATAATGTAGACCAGCATACATTTGCCCTGTAAAATGTTTTTATTGGCTGCATTTAATGTTCCCTTCTTAGTATTACTTTAAATACTTATTTATATAGGTGTGATTGATCGACCCATCAGCATGTGCGTACGTGTGGTGTGTGTGTGCTTATGTGTAAAATGGGTGGCTTGCAATAAAGATGAATAAACAGGGTGGTTTCCTTTACCATTCTTCTAAAAATAAACATCTGTCATTTTTCTCTCTGAGCTGCGGAGTAAATGTATGTGTTAGGAAACACCTTTTTTTGTTTTTGTGTACTTAATGGATCTTTGTTAGTTAAGTGTTTATTCAACTGTCAATAAAACAATCATAGGTTGGTTAATGCAAGGCAATACCTTTTAGAAAATTGACACTTGTTGCCAAGGTATTAAAGTAACTATAACGCCATTGTGTATCTGGGTAAAAATTGATTCAACAGCTGCATAGTTCTCTGTACATTCTACCAACATTACTCTCTCTGCTATGAAATTCATGTGTTTCTGTAGTGATGGCACACTCCAAGCACCATAAACACTGCAGACCCTTTTGGTGCCAGTTGTCCCCTGGATGAGATGTAAAGCCAGTTTAGTATCATTTGACACCTTTCCTGGGTTCTGCTGTCACTGTCTGTAGCGTCTGCTGGGCTCTGACAGATCCTGCATCGACTCACTTTACTCGATAGAGAAATCTGCTCAAATGAGCTTACAGGCTACAGGAGGTGGGGTATAAAACACATTAGGACAGGAAATAGCCATCAAGGTGGGAGTGAAGCTGAGCTGGAGGAGAGAGTAGAGTGCTACCCTTTAGGAGAGAGCAAGAGACAGGTATGTGAGGTAGAGGTTTCTCTGGGAGGCCATAAGCTTTCCTAAGATAATAGCACTGTGTAAATAAGCTAGAAATTGGTGGTAATGCTTCAAAAGCTTGTCTTTCACTTAAAGACAACAGCATTTTCTTTTTCATTTTTTGCTGTTTGCATTCAACTGCGATTTGTATTTTAATAATTTATTGCACCGACACATATTATATACCGTTTTTTAAAGGACAGAAAGGGCTTTAATTTGATGTAATATATATATATATATATATATGTTACATCAAATTAAAGCCCTTTCTGTCCTTTAAAAAACGGTATATGGGGGCGGGGCCTAACCGCAGAGCTGTGAAGACGCTTATCTCAGCAGCTCCTGCTAAACTTAGCAACCTAAAGCCGAATTTCACTGCCACACCGGCACACAATCATGATTATAAGGCCAGCACTCAAGAGTGGGCATCGGAGTGAGGAGAACGATACCTCTCAAGCGAAGAACCGAGCTAAACTCACTGTGAGGCCTACAAGCATGGCAGGCGCAGGGGAGACGGCCGCTCCCCAGCTGCAACACCATGCCGGATATCTGGCGGCGGGCTCTCGCTTCCCCCCCTCTGGACCGGCGGGGGTCATCCCGGTCCACCAGCTTACGGTGAGCACTCACCTCTGGGACACTTATAAGAGCAATTCCGACCAATCGACCCCACGAGGCCAAGCCAAGATGGCTGCCGGCAGTGCCGCGAATCCACCGCCTCAGACAGCCGATGAATGGACAGCGGCCTTTCAGTCTAAATTTGAGGAGGTATGCCGAAAATTTTGGGAGAGATTGGGAAAGAGGAACCCACCACCCGCTCTGAAACCAGCTACACTGGTAAAGCGACAACACACACTCTCTCACACGCGGCCGAGGCACCTGATTTTGGCAACGACACCACGAGAGCGATTAACCAGCAACACGACAAAGCGGAGGGAGAGACAGAGGGGCATTAACCGCCCAAAGCAGAAAAACATAGCCAAAGCAATGGCCATAACGCCACCTAAGAGGACAGCACCCCGAGGCACTGCCTCCCTGCACATGCCGCGCAAACGGAGGATCATCTGCCGTAAACGGATACTTCCACTTTCCTCTAAATACCCAAGGCGAGGGAAGGACCGAATGACACAGCATAGCGATACTACAGCTGAGCCATTGAAAAAGGGGAACAGCTACCAAGCCAGGGTGCACAGATCAGCCACGACCCTCTGCCTATCTATTCCATGCGCCGAACAAATGCAACAGCCCAAAGGATTTCTCGGTGAGATGCCGACACTTACCTCTCAGGACACTGCCCCAGCCCCTGCCTCGATGGAATATGGCACACAGCACCAACGGATTGCCATTGCAGGCATTGGATGACCCCAGACAGCAAAGCAGACTTCCCCACACTGTAATACTACAGTATCTGGGTCGGCTCCTGTATCACTACTCGTTCACAACATGCATACTCAAATATGTGTTCCAGACAGTTAAACAACCACTCTGAGCAAGTACTGAATTGATCCTTCCTGTTATTATACCTTTACACTCTCACCAGTTATGCTTTCCTTAATATAATCTGATAGCACACAGTGCTCATGTTCAATCTATGTTCTTTTCTCACAAAGAATGTGTTCCTATAATCACTTGTTTTTATATACTGGATGTCTTATGACAACAGCATGTCTACATCTATAGCACTGTAAACCAGCATTATCTGTAATGACCATAGAACGGGCAGACTGTATAACTGAATACAAGAACTAACATGTCTTCAGCATGAAGGCTAAGCTAGCGTATAGCACTACACATTTCAATCCTACAACACTCAGTTTACATGCCTGTATCTGTTAACGTAGCAAGATCATCCAACAAACTTAGCCACTAATTACCAACAAAAATACGCTAATGTCAACGCTATTGTTTAGCCTGTTTAATATGCACGTGTACGCCGAGGTGGAGATCCTGACACCATAACACTGAATGACCATAACTTAGAGCGCAGACCAAATGTTGCTTTATGGCACTTTGTTCTATAGAAGCGTGTACCTCACCTGTCCTGATATACAAAACAGGTGAAAGCGCCTGAAAAGCGATATCAACGCAGATACATTAGTTAATGCCAACTTAATGTGACACCAAGCCAGGATAACTGCTCACCTAAGCAATGTTAGCACTGTAAGCCTGAATAGCAATGCTTTCATCTTTAGACTTAATCTTATGTTATCTCATTTTATGTTGCTCTCATTATTATTGATGCCTTCTCAGTTTAACACCTGTTTATTAATAATATAAAACTGTGCAGACTATCTATTTGCCATGTTTGACAATGTAAGATTCTATTAAGCTTGTGACTGCTGATGTGGCAACACGGGCTCGTTTGATATCACTTGCACAATAAAAATAAAGAATTATAAAAAACGGTATATAATATGTGTCAATATGTGTACAATTTGTTTAATTTTTGGGGGATTTTTCTGTATTTTTTAAGAATATATATATTTATTTAAAAAAAATACAGAAAAATCCCAATTTTTTTTTTACAAATTGTGTTTTGTTTTTTTTATACAGTTTTTGCAATAATAATGTGTGCACAGTTAGTGCAGGTTAAGGAAAGTAATTAAAAATTCATTTAGTTTAGATTTACAGAATATATAATGTGTCTGGGATTTTAAGGTTTTTTTTTTTTTTGGTAGTTACAGGTCACAAAGCACAAGGAGTAAAATAAACTGTTAATGTGGAGCGATTTTAGAATTTGGTATGTTTGTCTTGTAAGCTTAATAGCCATAAAAGAAAACAAAATTGCCACACAAAAGTATATATTTATATAAAGTAGACATCACGGGCTATTTACCTAAGGTTGTTTTGACACTTTCTACGTAGCCATTTCACCGCCAACCTCTGCTAAATATTGGAGTAAAATTTTGTTTTTTTTGGTTTTTGGCACACAAACTTATAACAAAGAAATTCTCATGTGTATTTTGTAAGGTTGGTGTGTGCTATTCCTGTACAAAGTTTTATTTTGTGTTCAGTTACATCTGCTGAGTAAAATGACACCCCCATTGGATGTCTTTGGCACTATTTCGTGAAGTTACAGTGCCATATAGGAGACCTGTCCTTTTCAGTATTCACAGTAGAATTTTGAGAGACGGATTTAATGAGCCTTTGCTTCCATTTGGGGTATTATAGTAGTTTGACTGTTCACAAAAACCCACAAAGGCCTACCATTTGTAAAAGTAGACACTCCAGGGTATCTCATAAGGTGCATATTGTGCCTTAACATGCCCCCATTTTTTCACCAATATATGCCAAAGTATGTGGTAAAAAATTTGTGCATTTTTTTACATACGGATTGCATTTTTGCTGGGCATTTTGTATATTTCATATGTGCCACTAAGTTCAAACCCCCCAAATTATGCTCAGCTAAGTCTTTTGAGTAAAAAGACACCCCCAATGAATGTCTTTGGCACTATTTCGTGAAGCTACAGTGCCATATAGGAGACCAAGCCATCTCCGTTTTTACCGAACTTTGAATTTTGACGCTGGGCCTATGTGCAACTTCCAAGCATCTTCGCAGGTTTTAAATTCTAACTACCCCACAAAGGCCTACCATTTCTTAAAGTCACCCCAGAGTATTTCAAAAGGTATATTTTGAACCAGGTATATGTGGATGTTGAAGGGGCACATTTGAGACGCAGCCATTCAGTTTTTTTTCTAACTTTGAAGTTTTACGCAGTGTCCATGTTCCAATTTGGAGTAGTTTAGATGGTTGGTTATTGAAACTTCCCCTCAAACACATACTATTTATTAAATAATACACCGTGGGGTCAATCAAAAGGCATATTTTGAACCTTGGCGTGGGATAATTTTTTCTCTTGTTTGTTCCAGGTGTAGTGGTAATGAGCGTTTTTAAATATATTTTTTTTACTTTTTAAAACTTGTTTTACTTTTTGAAACTAGTTTTTAAACTTTTGTTTTGCTTATTAATTTTTTTTAAACTTTTTTTTTTACAGATGTAACATTTTTCTAAGCTTTTTTTTAAAAAAAATTTTTTTTTTACCGTTAACCCCTAACTAGCAGTAAGCAGCACTAACAGTAAATTCCCCATTTTCCCATAACTCCCATCCACCCCGGCTAGCAAAATATATAATTATAAAATATTTAAATTAGTTAATTAAATAAATTGAACCCCTCTGGGTTAAAAAATAAATAAAAGTTGATCGTTAGGGGTTAAAAAAAATTAGATCACAGTATAATACTATGATCTGTATTTTGATCACTGTAGTCAGTGATCGGCTGGCAGGGAAGGGGTTAAAAAAAATTTGGACTGGCTAAAGGGGGGTGTTTTTTTTATTTTTTACTTAAACGTTATTAAAACTTTTTTAACTTAATTTTGAACTTTTTAAAGCTTATTTTAAAACTTTTTTTTTTTAAAACGTTAACCCCTAGTTAGCCTAACACCAAATTCCCCAATTCCCCACTAACTTCCACCCACCTCAGCTAGCTAATTTTATAATTTTAAAATACTTTAACCCCTGAGGGTTAAAAAAAATAAAAATTAACCCTCAGTGGTTAAAAAAAAAAAAATCAGATCATAGTAAAATCCCTGCCAATTGATCACTGTAGGGGGGGTGGGATTTTAAATTAACTTTATTTTATTTTTTCTAACAGGAACAAGATCAGTGATTATCAGTCTCCCTGCACTTCACACAGAACCAGGAAGTGCAGGGAGGCGGAAGGTGAGTATATGGAGCACATGTGCTCGCTCTGACAGCCTGTCAGAGCGAGCACATGTGCTGGGGCAGCCTGATCGGGTGCTCCCGGTCTGCCTCTAATACAGAAGCAGACCGGAGCACCATTAACCCCACGATCACGGCGATCTGGGGTTATTTTTACCGCGTGACGGACAAGGTCCGTCACTCATCGTTAAGGGTTTCTCCTGAGTGACGGTCCTCGTCCGTCACTCGTCATTAAGGGGTTAAGGACCGAACTGTTTTGGCCATGTTGTACGGTAAGGACCAGAGCTGTTTTAACACTTTTGTGGTGTTTGTGTTTAGCTGTAATTTTCTGATCTCTCTCATTTATGGTTCCCATACAAATTATATGTTGTTTTTTTCAGGACAAGAAGGGCTTTCTTTACATACCCTTATTTGTATCATGTCGTCATACAATTTACTTTAAAAAAAAATAATAAAATATGGTGAAACATGTTTTTTTACTTTTACTTGAAAAATCTTTTACTTATCTTCAAAAGCTAATGAAAAAACTGCTTAATAGATTCAAAATGTTGTCCTGAGTTTGAAAACACCCAGTGTTTACATGTTTTGTTTTTTTTTGCAAGTTCTAGGGCTATAAGTACAAGTAGAAGTTAGTTTTTTGGGGGGGTTTTTCGGATGACAGTTGCAGGGGAGGCAGCAGGGTAAGTTGTATGAGTACATTTTCTGAATTGATTTAAAAACGATCAGACGGTATAGGCAATTTTTAAAGTACTATAAATGAGGCACAGACAATGCAAGGCATTTATTTATGTTTGTTATTCTCGTGGTTTCTGCCAATAGCTCTGTAGTTTCTATGAAGTTACTGACAGCCATCCACATGTCTGTATAAAGAGGATATCATTTTCAGACTTGGAGAGGAACCCAACTAGGAAATGCATTCACGATACGTGTGCATTGTTTAGTTTCACTTCAATCGATTCCCATTATCAGATTAATAATATGCCTACGTTATAAGCCCCTTTCATTGATCCTCAGAAATTAAAGTGGCTGTCACTTTTTTTTCTTATTAAGCAGTACTGGCATGTCCAATCCCCCCCTGTGGGCAGCCCTGATTTTGTCTTGTACATAAGGAAAAGTAGGGCATAGTTTTTTATTTCATAATAGCTGCAGGTTGACAAAAGGTGGAGCTTTTTTATTTAAGCTCCATGTCCTTGGTCCACTTTCGTCATTGTCCTCACTTGCCTCCTTCCAGCGTTGCGTCCCCTCTGGCAGAGGCGGGGATTTCTGGTGGCTGCCATTTTGGAAGTGCATAGTTGATGACACCGTGAATGAAAACCCAGCTGGACCAGCATAACCATTAGCAGGAAATTAGTACCAGTCCCGGGGCCACTAAAGTTAATATGTAATAAATAAAAATAAATATCATGGGGCAGCTCTAACCACATTATTCCTTGTTTTAAGTTATTTAGAAAAGGAAAGAAGCTCAAGGAAAAAAGGAATTACGCCTCCCTTCAGGGAATTATGCTATTTTTGTTCGTAGGGAATGGGGTGGTTTACTTCTGGCAGAAAACAATTTAAGACCACGTTAAGTTAAGCCATTTTATTTTTCATGGAAAATTCCCAGGGTGCACAATGGGTCTTTTGAGCTTTACCTGAGTGGCGTGCAGTTTTGTAGTGTTTTGTTTTGCGTTATTATGTGTTACGGCAGACATTCTTTCTTGATATTTCGTAATCACTGGCTCCCTGTCAGGAAACTGACAGGGATCCAATACGCAGAGTGCGCACAGAAGGAGGTACGTATACCGGACCTTAGAATGGCCGGACTAACGTAAGGACAAAGCAAGAATAGTCAAAAGGTAAGCCGAGGTCAAGGGAGCCGGAGGACAGGTAAGCGAGATACAAGCCGAGTCAAAGGAGAGGAGAGGACAACAGGACAAAAGACAAGCAAGGGTCAAAACCGGAAACACAAGATAAAGAACGCGCTGAGTGACTAGCAAGCTAGAACCACGACAGGGCAATGAGCAGTAGTAAAGGTTTCCTTTAAATACCCTGTTACCTAAATAGAGACCACGCCCCCAAAAGGTCCGGAATAGCGGTTCCCGGCACTTTATGCAAATGCCGACGTCATGACGTCGACGCTAGCCGTCGCGTCATAAAAGGGGGAGGAGCTAGCGCGGCCGGCGCGAAAACGGCCGAAATGCTAGGGGAAGGGAGCCCCTAAGCAGAGAGGATGTCCTCCCTGGATACATCACCAACAGGTACCCTGACAGTACCCCCCCTTCTAGAAACGCCCACCGGGCGGATGGGACCTGGCTTAGAAGGAAAACGAACGTGGAAGGCCCGTAGAAGACGAGGAGCATGCACGTCTATACCAGGAACCCAAGACCTCTCTTCTGGACCATAACCTTTCCAGTCTATGAGGTATTGCAGCTTCCCCCTAGAAATACGAGAATCAAGGATGGACTTGATGATATATTCCTCCTGACCATCCACACGGACCGAGGATGGAGGAGCAGAGCGGGAGGAAAATCTGTTACAAACAAGAGGTTTCAATAACGACACATGAAAAGAGTTAGGGATGCGTAGAGTAGGAGGTAGATCCAGCAAATAAGAAACCGGGTTGATCCTCCTCAGTACCCTGTAAGGACCAATGTAACGAGGAGCAAACTTCAAGGAAGGAACTTTCAGGCGAATGTGTCTGGTACACAACCAGACCCTATCCCCCGGAGAAAAAATAGGAGCAGGACGTCTACGCCTATCAGCATGTGACTTAAACACCGCGGAACTACGTTCAAGAATTTGTCGAGTCTGATCCCACAACTTTCTCAGGTTGGCTATATGAATATCAACCGACGGTATACCCTGGGAAGGAGACACCGACGGAAGAACAGTAGGGTTAAAGCCATAGTTCAAGAAAAAGGGGCTATTACGAGTGGAACCACAAACAAGGTTGTTGTGAGCAAACTCCGCCCAAGGAATCAGACCGACCCAGTCATCCTGGTGTTCAGAAACAAAACAACGTAGATATTGCTCAATTTTTTGGTTAGTGCGTTCGGCTGCTCCGTTAGATTGAGGATGATAGGCCGAAGAAAAATTCAGTTTGATGCCCAACTGTGAACAGAAGGATCTCCAAAAACGGGAAATAAATTGGGAACCCCTGTCTGACACAATCTCATTGGGAATACCATGTAAACGGAAAATTTCTCTAGCAAATATCACGGCCAGTTCGGGGGAGGACGGAAGTTTAGGCAAGGGAACGAAATGAGCCATTTTAGTAAACCTGTCAAGGACCGTGAGGATAACTGTATGCCTATTGGAAGCTGGTAGATCAACAATAAAATCCATAGCCAAACAAGCCCAAGGTTTGTTGGGAACGACTAAGGGCTGCAATAAACCACAAGGGAGATCCCGCGGAAGTTTATTCCTGACACAAACATTGCAAGCCTTGACAAAGTCTTCCACATCCCTACGTAAACCGGGCCACCAGAAGTCTTTGGAGATCAGGCAGTAAGTTTTGTGGATGCCGGGGTGACCAGCGATCTTGCTATCGTGGAAACAGCGAATAATGTCCACTTGGAATTTGGGAGACACGAACAAGCGGCCCACAGGAGTACGTTCGGGAGCAAGAGATTGTTCGTTCTGAATATCAGCGAGCAATGGAGAGTGTATTTTGACATTGGTGTTGGCGATAATATTGACTTCAGGAATAATAGGGAACAAAGTATCCTCTGTAGAGGTGGTAGGTTCGTGCTGACGTGACAAAGCGTCTGCCTTAGTGTTCTTAGAACCAGGCCTGTAAGTAAGCACATAATTAAAGTGTGTAAGGAACATAGACCAACGTGCCTGCCTGGCAGATAATCTTTTGGCCTCCCCCATATACGATAAATTTTTGTGGTCAGTCAAGATAGTAACTGGGAGGACGGTGCCCTCTAACAAATGTCTCCATTCCTTTAATGCCATAATGATAGCTAAAAGTTCTCTATCACCAATGTCATATCTCCTTTCAGTGTGTGATAGTTTCTTGGAAAAAAAACCGCAAGGGTGCAGCGGCTTATCTAAACTTTGTCTTTGGGATAACACTGCGCCTATCCCTGTTTCAGACGCATCAACTTCAAGTAAAAAGGGTAGAGAGGTATCAGGATGAACTAATACAGGTGCTGAGGCAAAAGACTGTTTGAGCGTTTCGAAAGCAGATAAAGCCTCAGTAGACCAGGTTTTGGTATCGGCTCCTTGTTTGGTCATATTAGTGATAGGAGCGATAACAGAGGAGTACCCTTTAATAAAACGTCTGTAATAATTAGAAAATCCAAGAAATCTTTGTATGGCTTTGAGTCCCTTAGGTAAAGGCCAATCTAAAATCGATTTTAGTTTGGTCGGGTCCATCATAAACCCGTCTTTGGAAATTACGTAACCTAAGAAAGTTACCTGAGACTGGTCAAAGCTACATTTTTCCAATTTACAATACAATCCATGTTGTAAAAGTTTCTGTAATACCTTTCTGACTTGTCTATGATGTGAATTAATGTCTCTAGAATGGATTAGTATATCATCCAAATATACAATTACACATTCATGTTGGAATTCTCTAAGAACTTCATTGATCAAGTCTTGGAAGACGGCCGGGGCGTTACAAAGCCCAAACGGCATTACGGTATACTCATAATGCCCGTAACGGGTATTAAATGCTGTCATCCATTCATCTCCTTGTTTAATTCGCACTAAGTTATATGCTCCTCTTAAGTCAAGTTTAGTAAAAATACTCGAGCCCTTTAGTCTGTCAAAGAGTTCAGTAATCAAAGGAATAGGGTAAGCATTTCTGATAGTAATTTTGTTCAATCCCCGATAGTCTATACAAGGACGTAAGGTACCGTCTTTCTTTTCTACAAAAAAGAAACCCGCCCCCGCCGGAGAAGAAGACTTTCTAATAAATCCCTTGTCTAAATTCTCCTTGATATATTCCTCTAAAACTAAGTTTTCCTTGGTGGATAGAGGGTATACCGTACCCCTGGGAGGCATAGTACCAGGGAAAAGTTTAATAGAACAGTCATAAGACCGGTGGGGAGGTAAAGTATCCGCCTTACCCTTGTCAAATACAGATTTGAGGTCTAGATATTGTAATGGTATCTGAACGTCTGTGGATTGAGAAGTGTTAGCATAAGAGTTTACGGGGCAAACAGAAGTAACTCTCTGCAGACATTCTTTCCTACAACCCATACCCCAAGAAACGATTTCTCCACCCTCCCAGTCAATCTGAGGGTTGTGTCTCTTGAGCCAAGAATATCCTAGAACCACTGGGACTGCCGGGGAGGAAATTAACAGAAGGGAAATCAACTCTTCGTGGAAAATACCAACAGTAAGCTTAACGGGTTCGGTCTCATGGAATATTACTGGTTCAGATAAAGGTCTACCATCTATGGCCTCAACGGCCAAGGGTGTATCTCTCAATTGGAATGGGATACAATGCTTATTAGCGAAAGTTTGGTCTATAAAGCTTTCTGCTGCTCCAGAATCTAATAATGCCATCGTAGTAATAAACCCCTTTTCCCAAGCTAGAGAGACAGGAATCAGAAGCCTATGGTCTTTTTTATTATGCATAGAGGACAGTAATGAAACACCCAAGGCCCGTCCTCTAAGGGAACTTAGGTGCGAGCGTTTCCCGGACGATTAGGGCAACTAAGACGTAGGTGACCTCTCAGCCCGCAGTATAAACAGAGACCCTCCCTTCTTCTGTACTGTCTCTCAGCCTCAGATAAGCGAGTATTACCTATTTGCATAGGTTCTGGTGGAGTAGGATTATAGGAGTCAGGGTTCTGAAATGAGGGAGCGAGTCTTACAGGAAGTCTAGTAACTCTTTCCCGAGTGTTCTGCCTCTGTCTCATGCGTTCATCTATTCTGGAAATGAAGGATACTAAATCCTCTAAATTTTCCGGAAGTTCTCTTGTGGCAATTTCATCTAGAATTTCATCAGACAACCCATTCAAGAAAACATCCATAAAAGCTTGTTCGTTCCATTTCACTTCTGCTGCCAATGATCTAAACTCTAGAGCATATTCTACAAGGGTCCTATCTTGTTGTTTAAGGCGTAACAGGGATCTGGCCGCATTAATCTTCCTCCCTGGGGGGTCAAAGGTTCTTCTAAAAGCCGTGACAAACGCAGTGTAGTTGTAGACTAAAGGATTGTCATTCTCCCAAAGGGGATTGGCCCATCTAAGTGCTTTATCTATTAGCAGGGTTATAATAAAGCCTACCTTAGCCCTGTCAGTGGGGTAAGCCCGGGGTTGTAGTTCGAAATGTATACTTATCTGGTTTAAAAAACCACGACAAGCATCAGGCGAACCCCCATATCGTAATGGTGACGTGACATGGGAAGATGCGCCTACAGTGGCTACTTCCAAACCAGTACTTAGCGAGTGGCTAGCAGTGGAACGTATTTCTTCAGACTGGGTACTGGAGCGTGTCAACAAAGTTTGTACGCTAAAGCCATTTGGTCCATTCTATGGTCCATGGCCTCAAATCTGGGGTCAGGAGGACTAGCACCTGCAGGATCCATCTGGCCCTGTCGTAATGTCAGGAAACTGACAGGGATCCAATACGCAGAGTGCGCACAGAAGGAGGTACGTATACCGGACCTTAGAATGGCCGGACTAACGTAAGGACAAAGCAAGAATAGTCAAAAGGTAAGCCGAGGTCAAGGGAGCCGGAGGACAGGTAAGCGAGATACAAGCCGAGTCAAAGGAGAGGAGAGGACAACAGGACAAAAGACAAGCAAGGGTCAAAACCGGAAACACAAGATAAAGAACGCGCTGAGTGACTAGCAAGCTAGAACCACGACAGGGCAATGAGCAGTAGTAAAGGTTTCCTTTAAATACCCTGTTACCTAAATAGAGACCACGCCCCCAAAAGGTCCGGAATAGCGGTTCCCAGCACTTTATGCAAATGCCGACGTCATGACGTCGACGCTAGCCGTCGCGTCATAAAAGGGGGAGGAGCTAGCGCGGCCGGCGCGAAAACGGCCGGAATATGCCGAAATGCTAGGGGAAGGGAGCCCCTAAGCAGAGAGGATGTCCTCCCTGGATACATCACCAACAGGTACCCTGACACTCCCAGTGTGTGTGTATTTTTTTAAATTTTTTAATTTTTAAGCCTTCAAAAAAGAGATTATTCATATTTTGCATAGAAATGACAGCTGCTGTTCTTGCACATTCCTTATTGGAGATTTTTGCCCCGGAGGGAGGGGGGGCGGCAGATGATCTGTGTGTAGTGCTGTTTATGTTTTGAGGGTGAGTTAGTGATATGATATATTGATGTATGGCTTTAACTGTTTCACTGCTAGCTTGCGGAATGCGTTGTAACTAATTCTGACATACATTTATTAAAAGGACTTTTTACTCTGCCACCTCTCCAGTTTTCTGATTATGGATTGGTTTGAATTTTTAAGAATGATAATTTGACTGTAACATGATCTTCATAGTTTTCTGGTATATTCTCACATTCCACCATATCTAAACGTATATCATAGAACAGTATGTGCAAAAGGACACGTGGCATTGTGGTAAAGCCATTCCTGGTTATTACCATAGTATCAACACTGCAGACTCTCCGGATATGGCTCGAATGCTTTTGTTTGGTAAGTCTGGTCCAACCGTCCCACCCCGCAACAGTATCAAAACAACACCTTATTCTATATGTTCTCTTGTGGTTCGGCAGCTTTAAGTAAGACTTTGTTCTGATTGCTAGTTTGCAAGGGTTGAACTGTGCCTTGTGCACCTGCCCTTAATCTGGAACAGGGGTGTCTAGTATATGCACCACTGGAGTTGAGTTATCTATGGTTTTCGTTTCACAGTGATGCCTGCCGGGATATTTTCATCCAGAAATCAGGTAGAATATTGTCAAGCGTATTAAGCAAGACCAATCCCGCAGTACACAGTCCTGGTTCTGGAGTAGTGTGTTTTGTGTGTCTGTAATCAGTCAGCTCTGAGTCATCTGTTTGTTTCCCAGCGGTAGGTTGCATCCAGCCCAAGCACAGACTCTATCTGCTGGGATAACCCCCACTGGCAAGAGGGGACAGCAAGGAGCAATGTGCAGGTAGTCCTGGAGTCATAGGCAAACTTTTCCAGCTGGATTAGCTAATTAGGCCACAAAGTTTTCCCTGCCCTGGATCAGCACGAAATCATCCATTGGATGAAATGAAGTCGCAATAGGATGTTTTCGTGGGTATCCTCTAATATTAGACAGGGATTTAGCCCTGGGATTGCTCCAAGTGATTAATGTTGATGTTCCATTGCTAACGTCCCCGTCCCCCCAATCCTCCTTCCAAGGAGTGTCTGTATACAGTCAATGTAATATGAACATGTAAGCAAAGGAAAAAGTAATCTCAGAGTTCTACAGAACCACATCAGTACATTTTGCACATATGGATATGACCGATTAGAAATAGTTGAAACCCATAAGTTGTTAGTATAGACTATTTTGGAGAGCAGACTGTGAATTATGGTACAAGCCATCTTTATTTATTTTTTCCTGTACGTTTTTCCGCAAAACAACTCCTCACATTGTAAATCATGTTTCAGGGACAGTAATCCTTTAATAGACTATTGTGCCATTAGCCATTTGTTTTGATTCCTACATGTGAATGATGTGTCAAGCATCCCATCTGAGAGTGATTAGTGGATTTCCTAATGAAAGGTGGTGGCTCCCTTGTGACCTCAGTAAGAGAGCTCTGTTGGGGATCCTTTTGCAAACATTCTATTAATTCTTGCATCCTTGTTGTGTACATTTTGCCTAAAGTGATTTTAAGAAAATCATACTATATTCCTGCCTTAAAGGAATGCTACAGACCTCAGCTGGGTTACATATTTTAGCAGATTGTAAAGGCTACGGATCTCTAAGATAGATAATAAACAAGGACCAGGCACCAGTTTCCATGCACCAAAACAAATGAATTTTAATTGCGAAACTGAATTTCGGTTCAGTAAAGTGTTTTTTTTAAAAGCAAGCTAAAACTGGTTGTCTGACGCAATAAAACTGCATTTGGATCAGAATTTTTGTGCCCGCTTCTTCTTGTTTTATGATGTTGCAACCGCATAGCTATTACAAAGGCCGTACGGAGTTTGATAGTTGAAGTCCAGTTTTGTGATTTACTTTTATTAACAGGCAGATTTTTTTTTTAATCTTTCTCTATGTAATGAACATAACAATAATATGTTACTATTTTATTATTTTGACAAATTCCTACTTTTTGGGGGTTTCTGTACTCTCACATACCTCCCAAGGGTCCCTATTTAGGAGGGACAGTCCCTTTTTTTGAACCCAAATCAATCTGTCCCTCTTTTCTATCCTAATGTCCCTATTTTGAATGAACTTTTGTACAAAAATATTCTTGCTGTGTCTGAAGATATGCCATAAATCCACAGCAATAATACTCCAGTAAGGTGTTTAGAAATAACTCTGGGTAAATAAAATACGTTGCTCTTGTTCTAAATTGTTAGTAGTAAATAAGTTGTGAAATGACCTAACATTTCCTAGAACAGTATACGTGCAAATAGAAAAATTGAGAATACAGCTGCAGATCTACAACAGAAAAACATATATAGTGTAACACTTCAGATTTTTTTTTTTTTTGCCTTCTTTTGGATCAACAGCAAAAACATATCTGAGGAAGGCTGAACTTGATGGAAGCAAGTCTCTTTTCAGCTATGTAACTATGTAAATGCGCTGAAACAGGCATCACTCACAGGATAGAAGGAAAAATATCGCCCAAGGGCGCCTCCCCCGATGAAAATGGGGGCTAAATCCGCTCCTCTTTCCTCTGGTATTGATGAGACTGGACTCCAAATAGGCGGATTAAACAATTCTGCTTTATTATTTAAAAAAAAGATAAAAAGTCTGAGAAGGACTTCCTCAGGGACCTCCTGGTACTCCTAAGCCACCAAATAAAATACAGACAGCAAGTATAAAAATCTAATTATCAAACAAGCAGTATGTACTGCATGTTTGATATTTTTTTATTTTTTTTATACTTGCTGTCTGCCAGCAACTTATTTTGATAAATATTTATGTGGTTGCAGCAATAACAATATTATCAATAGTGATATTATTTATTATTATTATGGTTTTCACAATTACTGGAGAACAGAACGTTTTTTTGTAGTTTATTTTTTTAGTTGAGCATTCACTGTCTTCTGAATCTTAATATTTTAGTTAAAGGGCACCAGGTTTAAATTAAAAGAGCATTCCAAATAAAAATAAAAGTGTGTGTGTGTGTATGTGTGTGTGTGTGTATGTGTATATATATATATATGACTTTTTTTATTTTTTTTTATTTATTTTTTTAGTTAGTGTTCCTTGAATTGCTCAGATTGCTTGGCCTCCCCATTTGTTAAAAACCAGGCAAACTCACGTTTATTCCAGCACTGGTGGAGTTTTCTGCAACTCCAGTCTGTTTCCTGGGAAGTCATCATAGGGCTGTGGAATGTCTGAAGGAAGTTTATTCCCTGGTTACTTGCCCATGAAAAGCTTTGTAATGTCACAGAGAAACTGTCAAGATTTAGTTTTTTGGTGTTTTTACAAGGTGCCTCATTAACCATTTTTCTCTATAGTTTTATAGCATGGGGTACTTCTAAAATAAACCTGGCTTTGCAGATTTAGCTAGATAATGGCAGCTGCTCAGTTATCAATTCTTTATATTTTCCAGCAACACTTTATGTTCCTGCCAGTTGGTATTTCTGTAAACAAACATTGATTTCAGTGGAGCAAGGCCAAACTGGGACCAAAACACAGCCCCTGGCATTTATCCCCTTAAGGACACATGACGGAAATATTCTGTCATGATTCCCTTTTATTCCAGAAGTTGTGTCCTTAAGGGGTTAAAGGTAGTGCAGCCCAATAGGAAGCATGAGTGTTACCAGATATGGGGTGTGTTATGTCATCACTGATGATAGCCTTGCTGCCCACCTTCCCCTTCCCCTCAAATGAGTATGTTAGTTTGATTCCCCTCCAGGGTAGCCCTCTGCTGAAGTGCTCTTGGATGGGGAAATTACCCTGTTTGGTATACACAACATAAGTAAGTTTAATGACCGACTTGTGCTGGATGCTAGAGGACAAATTGAAACATGGCTGGTAATGAATGTTGTGCATGTGTGGGATGGTTTCTTGTGGTGTTGTATGTGTTTTTGAGGCTGCTTGTGGGATTGCATGTGTATAGATGGGATGTTTGTGGTGTAGTGTGTGTAAAGGGGTTTGTTTGTGGCATAGAGTGGGTGAGCATTTTATAGGGGTTGCATTGTGTGTGAGTGTACATTGTGTAGGGGCTGCAGTTAAAACTATAAGTTTCTCTCGTAAGCTCTGGCATTTACAGTCTCACAACGTTTCTGGGGGTTTCTGTGGCAGCACTCTGACATTAAGGGGCAGAGCTCCTTCTTTGGGCCAGTAGGGGGAATACGTTTATCTCCATTACCAGAAAGACCCATGGCCATTGTGACCCACCAGTGCTTTTACCTGATGACCTGTCTGGGCCTGCAGTGGAGACTCGTTTAGTGAGTTTATCCAAACGGTAATGAGACCGGACATTTCATGCTAAGGTAGTGATATAACCGTCATGTAATATCAAATATGAAGACGCTTTTTGTGCTCTTCAATCATACAATCTCTTAAAAACATGGTGAAAACTTGAAGTTCCTGGTAAACTGATCACATCTGTCATGGTTTCTCACTTGCTTCCGAGCTCCCTGTGACATACCACTGTTGGTGTCAAGCGTGTTTGTCTTATTATAAATTCCTTTTTATGAGGTTTTCTGCAGCAACTGTAGTATTTCCAGGTGGCTAGTATAATTGATCATTGGCCTGTAATGGCAATATAATATGTACTTTAAAAACCCTTAAACTGGATCTGTTTGTCTCTTTTGTTCCTTCAGATTGGAGGCCTGCTGTCTACCTGTGTGTTTTAGATTGTGCAGAAGAATCAAACTCCGAAACATGTAGCGAATTTGGGATAACCGGATACCCTTCAATGAAGGTAATGTTTTGAATATCTATTGTCTGCTGAGACACTAGGATAAAACTGCATTGTTACATGTAAACCTTGCCACGACAGAACCACAAATCCATTCCCACTTGCCTTATTTAATCTGCTTTGTTTATCTTGATTTTTTTGACTCCTGTTTCATGTTCCCAAACTGTTTGCTCTTCACTGCATTCTGTGCAAGCTTTCAATTGTACTATTTATATTTTCAGTTTTTCAAAGCCTTTGCAGAAAAAACTTCGGATGGAGTCAGAGTTTCAGGTAGGCTGAGAGAATTCAGATTTATTCTAATGAATATGGAGAAAATTGTTCTTATTTTCTATTGCTTTTGGTTCTTATTTAATTCTGGTTCTTCGTCTCTTTGCTATTTTATCCCATATGTTTGTTTTATTTCTTTTCTGCTTCCTCTGGTCTTTAAACACTCCAGCATTGGATATAAATATATTTATTTCTAACACTGGAATGTTCAGTTGTCTCCCTCCCACCCCCCAACTATTATTCGAAAAGAAGCAATTACTTTCCTCTAGACCAGCAGTTAGATAGTCCGCTATGCCCCTAGGAGGTCCTCACTAGTGAGGTTATCCCAAGCAAAGCCAGTGTTTCTCTTTAAGAAGCATTGTGTTTCTACAGCACATGTGTGGCAATCACCAACACGGCTTCTCACAATTTTACTTTGAGTGAATTTACTTTGAGTTACAGCTCACTAAGAATGTAGCTTCACAATGGATGCTGTCCAGGAGGTGGGAGGGTCTGGGAGGGAGGGTTTGCTGCTGATTGGCTGGAATGTGTCTGCTGACTGTGAGGTACAGGGTCAACGTTTACTCAATGATGAGTCCGCGGTGAACCGTTCGCGAACCGTTCGGCGAACAGTTTGGGACATCACTAAATTGCTCAGCAAGAGTGGTCCTATACTTGTCTCTGTTTGGTTTACTGTTATTCTTGCATCATATTTCTGCAGGTTACACTGTCGATTCACTCAGAAAGCAGATCATAGATCGACTTGAGGAGCAAAAAGAATCTCCACCACCAGCCTGTCCTCCATTGGAACCAATCAGGTCAGTAAATGATATAATACAGCAGCAACGACCGTGTACAACACTGGATTGTACGTATTTCATTTTTCTTTCTATAACATACTCCTAGTATGTACAGGACATTAACCCCTACTGCAATTGTAAAAGTAGCTTCATTACCCAACCTTAAATTGTAATCTATATTAAAATATGCTCTGTGAAGCATATTAATTAATTCATTCATTCATTAGATACATCCAGTACCGACTGCTTACTACTGTAATTAGGTTTTTGTAAGGAACTGCGTAGCAGATTTGATATGAGTGTGTGTTCCGTGGGTCCATATGGAGTGGAACACTATTATGAGTCCTGAGATTGACAGATGGGAGGAAAGGGTGTTATTTTACTTTGTGTAACCTTCTGACTGCCCAATAGTTAATCCCACATATTGCTAGAGTGGAAATACTATTCAGAAGATTTTGATGTTTAAATTTCACTTTCAGTACCCCTGAGCTGGACCAGTTCTTTGAGAACAACAGTGAGGAATACCTAGCTGTAATCTTTGAAGAAAACAAAATGTACATGGGAAGAGAGGTAAGGAAATCATGTGACAACCACACATTCTATTCCATCCTTCAGATTCCTTAAGTTTCATTTTATTCACACACTTGTGCACCCTTGTGGATAACACAATAAATAAAATGCATAAATAACTAAAATGACTCAGTTGAGGGGCCCAGAAAATGGAGTGCACTCAAGACATGACTCCTAAATCTATCACTAACCTGAATAAGGCGCAATTTTCATATAGAGGTGGTGTTTTATGAAATAACTTTTTTTTTTTTTTTATATCTCATTTATTAAAGTTAGGGTAACTTAAAATCCTACATTTAATAATGTTTAACATGTGAATGGCAGCTGATGAGCCATTAACGACATGGACCTGATGATAACCCCACTGTTCTGAGAATTTCTGACAACACTTTTACCATTGTGGAAAAAGGTCCCTACGCCACACGTGAAGCGATATATAATATAATATATAAATATATATATATATATATCAGAACCATTAGTCTGACTATTGTGGTGGATTCGTCTGTTTCCTGCATTTTCGTGTAAATGGCTGTTTCCTATAGCCCAGCCATACGAATGACTGTTTTCCCGAACCAAACTACCGAACAGATGGCCACCCAGGAGAGAAGTGTGCTGCTGGTTAACCTATTGATCCCAATTAGAACGTTGTGGTTAACCGCAGACACTTCTCAATTAAACCGAATTCAGGGTGGTCGTCGTTCGTATGTCGACCACGAGGCAGCGGCCATTTTAAAACACACGAAAGCCCAGCGGTGTTCGGCTCTATTTTCATGGAACTAAAAACTGACACTTTTTCTGCCGAACACCGCTGAAACAACGGGACGCCTGGCTGCCTCCACGAAAGCGTATGAACACCGGCCGTTCGGGAGTTTTGAAACACACGAAAGGACTTAACCCAGATAGCCTTCCCATGGAGTCAATCGCATACCGAAAGACTTTGACTCCATGGCGATTGAACTATGTGTGTGGGATCTGAGCGCTATTCGCCAATAATATGCACTCAGATCCAGGCTATCTGGGGATATGTGATGCGAAGGGGAAATGTTCGGTTATTTTAAAGTTATGTATTTTTGTGTATTTTCTGGTGTTGTATTTAAGATGGTGATTTGTCTTTGTCCTGGAGATAATTGAATTACTTCTCAATTATCTCCAGGGCAGAGGGGAGGAAACCATATTGCATTGAGGGAAAAGCCTGTGATTGTATGTCTGAACTGTCCCCATGTCCATCTGTAATTTCAGTCTCCCATTTGGTCCCCTAGGGGAGTGTCCACCAAGTGGGAGACTTGCATAAATATGGGCAGGTAGCCCACAGTAAAGCCAGATCCTGTTTGACCCTCAATGCAGAGCTTCTGTCTCGTTATTGGGGGGATTTCTTCTTTGCGCTTAGAGACTGCTGATTGGAACCGAAAGCCGCTTGGTGGATATCGTTGTTCGGCGGCTAGCAACAGTTTGTGGATTTCCGTTCGGGAGTTTGGAGCCTTTCACGGATCCCGGTCGGGAGATTACCGCTTCCCCTGGTTATGGTTCGTGTATTACAATTGATGCGAATGGATTACTGAAATTGCAAAAGGGGAAGGTGAACTAAACGGCGGTTTCTCTTAAAGACACCAGGGGTGTCTTAACAATATATATAGCTCGAGAGACTATGTATATTCTTATTGTTATACTATCATATGATGCTATGGAAATATATTTTATGGGGGGGTTTATTTTCTATTTAGGTGGGTAATGCTCCGTTATTGAATTATTCAAATTTTCATCAGATCCTTCTGCAAAGGCATTTTATGAAAATGTAATAATTCCCATAATTCCCCTCTCTGGAGCTGGCACATTTTGGAAAATGCCATCAAGCTTCCTTACTGGTCGCATCACCTTTTGAATTAAATTTGCAGCTTTGCATGTTTGGGAGCCTATAGAAGCAATCACAGGAGCATGTGATCCACAAGGTGGAGACTTTCCAGTGTTTGGTCAGTGCCCCTGGGGTTAATGGCACCCAGCAGCGTATCTTTAAATCATAAATAAGATCACTTTTTGACAATGTGTTACAACTTTGCATATGTAAAAGTTAATATACGTACCTAATAAAAAGCATTAGTTGGGAGGAACTAGTTTTAAAACCGCAATTTAAATTATAAAGTTATACAGTCAGCAATTGTTTTGGAAATAATTATTCGCATATGATTGAGGACTATTGGAATGTTTGCAGGGAGACTGATTTAACTGCCTGTTTATAAGCTGTGACTAAGAATCAGGTAACAGGCAGCAGGTTCCTGATCTGCATACTAGCCAAGTAAGAGTTATAAAAAAACACAAATCTCATCCTGAGCTTCAGCTTTCTCTAACCTATCTTTGTTATTTCTTGGTTGTAGTACTTTTTAATTTTATTTTTGTAATGTAAAGTTCTGAGTACTGCGTTTTTATTTAATTATTTTTTTTTCAATGCAGGTTTCTTAAAATTTGTGATGCTGAGCTTGCAAAATAAATTAATCAGTGAGATAAACTCAGATGTCAAAAATGGTTCTCTTAGTGTTTCGAAAACTCGCTTCACGCGTGGCGTAGGGACCTTTTTCCACAATGGTAAAAGTGTTGTCAGAAATTATCAGAACAGTGAGGTTGTCATCAGGTCCATGTCGGTAATGGCTCATCAACTGCCATTCACATGTTAATCATTATTGAATGTAGGATTTTTAGTTACCCTAACTTTAATAAATGAGATACGGATGTTATCCAGATTCTGTGGCGGACCGCCTGGCACCCCAACCGTGTGCCTCCACCAATCGATGCTTCCTAGTGCTCACTGAGTACTCCAAGCACTCCACCAGACACCATAACCACCGTAAACCCTGAAGCCAGCGTTACAGCTTGGTTGGCGTCTTGTTGTCCTCCACCCACCCTAGGCCCATGACCAGGACCCAGCTTTCAGTGGGTATACCTCTCCCAATCCAGAGAATAAAGCAGGATTGTTCTTACAAGAGCTAGTGATTATAATCCATGGGAGTATAATGAGTATAACAATCCCCAGAGTAAATATAGCTGTTACCTGCAAACATGAGACGAGGCTCTATGTTGAGGGTGAAGAGGAACTGGTTTAATGGGAGCCACATGCAACCTTATATGCAACTCCCCATGCAAGGGGTTTCTGGATACATATTCCAGGGGCAATCCCCTTCTGGACCTGAGAGGGGACTGTGACAAAGTACACACTGTAATTACATTGGCTCTCAGGTCCAGGACACTCCCACACAAAACAGGATAATCCCTCCCCTTTGCCTGAGAGATAATTGAGTCAGGAACTGTACTAAACTAAATTATCTCCAGGCACAGAAAACCTATATTTAAAGGAACACTATAGTCACCCAGACCACTTCAGCTCAATGAAGTAGTCTTGGTGCCAGGTCCCCCAGGTTTTAACCCTTCAGATGTAAACATAGCCAGATGTAAACATAGCAGTTTCAGAAAAACTGCTATGTTTACATTGCAGGGTTAATCCAGCCTCTAGTGGCTGTCTTCCTGAGGCACTTCTGCGAAGCTGGATGTGAAAATCGCATTCAGTGTGCAGAACGTCCATAGGAAAGCATTAAGAAATGCATGCGCACTCGACTCAGGCGCTGACGTCGGTGGGGGAGGAGAGGTCACCAGCACCGAGGGAGCCCACCACTGGATTAAGGTAAGTAACTGTGTTTTAACCCCTTCAGCGCCAAGGGAGGGGGGCCCGGAGGGTGGGGTTGGGTCCTAAGGAGTATATTGTGTCAGGAAAACGAGTTTGTTTTCCTGACACTATAGTGATCCTTTAACAACATCTCGAAAGTACCTCCAAAACACATGGAAACCCCACAAGTCACTTCCCCTGATAACCCCCATCTGGGGGACGAACATATCCAAAAATCACCCAGATCGGTTCAGAGGTTTAGGATTTCCATGGAAGTCATAGTTTTGACTGACTGTGCACATGGTACTATGCTCAAAACAGTTCCAGGGAATCAGGGCTAATGGTTGGTCTCCATTTCTGGAGTATAAAAGTACATAAATCCCCTGAATGGAACCTTTTTAAAGTACATTGGGGCAAGGTATATTGCAGGGCTCATAGTCCTGAGGCAGGAGGCTGGCAAGCAGGCCCATGGCGAGTTTCTGTTCGCCACACTGTGTTTCAATATGAAACAATAATAGACTGTAAGCTCGTTTGAACAGGGCCTTCTTCACCTCTTGCCTGTTATATTATGTATGTAAATTACTTGTGGTTAAATATCCTCATTGTATAATTGTAAAGTGCTGTGGAATATGTTGGCGCTATATAAATAACGCTAATAATTCTTATAGGCAATCTATAAATATCTGAAGCCATAAAGACCCAATGAGAAACATGATCGATAGGTGTCCACTACCACAATATAATCCACATACTCAAAATTAAGGTTAATATCAATAACCCAAGATCATGATTTTTAATGGCCAGAGCTGCTTTGTTCAACTGTAAGTGCTGTCATTGTGATGTGGAAATATCTAAAAGAATAAAGGTTTGTCTTCAAAGTAATAGGCCACACACGCATGCGTAAAAAGCAACTGAGTGCTGATGGACGTACTGTGTACAAATAGTCTGCCCTTGGTTGGAAAACTCACAAGATCTGAGCAAGAAACCTTTTTTAGGTACTTCTTGAGTTATGATGTCTGAGCAGCTGGATACAATATTTCAATCACCATGGGCAATTCCAAGCCTTGGCTCATTTAGTGTAAATCTTGCCATCAATAGATTCTGAATCAGTGAAACATAATCACAGTTCATTAGTCTTAGTTTGAAGCAGACAATGAGAACTCCCCCGTTTGACTGTTCACTGCCCACTGTAAAGGAGGAGGTGGCACTGGCTTTGGTTCATGTTGGGATTCACTGGAGGGACATCCTAAAATTGCAGCATACAATGACAGAAGGCTGTCCTGTATTTCATACTTTGTAGTAGCAATTTGGGGAAGGCCTATCCTGATTTAGCATTGCCCCTTTTGGGTGGGGGGGGAGAGAGAGAGAGAGTGTTGTAGAAGTTCACACACAGTTCTGGAGTAAACCCTGACCTTTCCCCATCAAACAACTTGTTGGAAGCATCTCAGCTAATACAGTAGCAATGAGGAACGAAGCTGTTATCCACATACACCAAAAGTATTTAGTTTTTGTTTTTTTGGGTTTTTTTTTTGCCTTCTTTCTCTTAAATGTATGGAATTAAAATTCTAATTAGCGTGTTGTCAAACACCTGTTGGGTGATGTGGGAGCTATGTATCACCTGGTTAAACTTGCTTAAGGACACATCACAAGGACACCGTAATAGCAGCGGCAAGTGGAGGCAAGAACACACAAACACGTTCCTCCCAGAATATACATGGATTGGGCCAATTTTAATGACTCACTAATTGTTATTGAAATAGAGTTGGTATTTTTATATATGAGGTTCCAAAGCCAGCGCTTTAGAGAATGGAAGCCATGTGATAGTCAGGTGCCGGGAATGATATACAGCTGTTTAGTATTTCCTCCCAGTATTGGTGTAAGACACTGATTTCACTGGGGTGAATAAGTGTCTGTTGATTTAGGACTTGTAACTTCCACCACTACATTAGTCTGTAGCATCTTGAGTGTGGATCCAGCTACCCCCAAATCTAAGCAACCCCTAGTCCTAGTTGTGACATTGATATAAGTACTTTTATAAATGATGCTGTGACAATGCAGAATAATTATAGATACAGCTTCCTTACTGTGTCACTTAAACCAAGCTTGACATTTTAAAAGTGATGATTTGAATGGATACTTCAATAATTCTTCAACCAAACCCATCATTAAAGCTGAGGGTTACATGACATTCACTACACTAGCAATTGAGATGTATTATACATACAATAGACTGTAATATATGTAAAATGTAGAGAACATGTCTATATTCCCATATATTCTTCAAGGAGTTCTGTTTTATAGACTAGTTTTTGCCGTCTTTGCATTGTCTGGTCACTGGCCATAATTTGAGCCAGGAGCACTTTGACCTTTTGCTGTTATATAAAAAAAAAAATATGAATATAGATTTGATTTCAGATTGGTCAGATATTATTTTTTGACTTGATCCTCTGTCTCCTTATAGTTAATTTTCCCAGTGCATACCAGTCGAGTCCCAAAATTATTTGAAAAGTATCTGTGCTACAACATAAAACATTTACCCATTTAATGTTTGACATATACACTAATTTTTCATTCATAAATTTTAAAATGAATGGGCAAAACACACCAGTGTTGAAAACAAAGATACGAAATTTAATTAATTTATTTATTTATATATATTTTTTTACATTTTGTTTTTTTTATTTTATTTTTTTTAAACCAGGCAAATGTGATTTGGATATCTGTTTAAAGTCCTACTTTACTAGTGAGCAAAATTAAAGGATCACTCTAAGCAATATAACTGGTAATGTATAATGTAGTAGTTTAGTTGCCAATAGTCTCTGGCCACTGTCCCTTGATTCTTTGTTACACTGTTTGGGAGTGATTTATGAAAAACAAATTTTTTTGGTGTTTTTTTTTTTTTTTTTTTTACTGCGTCCCTTTAAGTTTAGTCTGACCTTCTCTAGCAGAGAAGTTTTTGTCACAGGTTAATCGCAATGTCCAGTAAATTGCAGTGTATTCAAAAACAAATTTGCTAAATTGATGGCAAAATAGCTCAAGTGGAAAAAATATTTTTTCTCTCTAATACTCTTACAATCTCTTCCCACGGTTGTGATTTTGAAGGAAACGTAGCAAGTTCAATTTGTAGAGACAAGGTGGGGTCCATAATCCGCAAGATTGACTTGATAATTAAAGGTAAACAAATCTTTGCTGGCAGTGCCAAGTGATTTTGATGAATTAACTACTGGAGAACATGTTGATCAAATAATTGAAGCCTAAACAGTATTTCTCCTGTTTCCTGAAATTGTTTATTGAACAGCTCCATTGTTTAGTCTGAACCCCTGGTTTCTGTCATCTCAGGTGGCTTTGGATATGCTTCAATTTGAAGGCATCTCTGTACGGAGAGTAGTAAAGGATCAGACGGACTTGATTGAGAAGTTCAAGGTATCGTCGTTTCCAACTGGGTTTTTATTTTCTAAAAATGGATCTGTCAGTAGAATTGACCCGTGAGTAGCTTTATGACTATATAAAAAAAAATACTTTCATTTATTTATTTTTTTCTACTCATTTATTATTTGGCCTTGTCCGATGCTTAATGTGTCTTATTGTTAGTGGAGAAGAGACCCGTTCCTCCTATACCAATTTGCTGCGCTCGTTGCCTGGGGTGAAACGAGCTAATCACCGTCTCATTGGCTGGTCAGAGAAGACCCATGATGATGAAAACACTGTAATAAGGAAAGCAGACAAGTAAGTGGAACTTTTCATTTTCAGGTAGAAAGTAGTTTGCTTATGGAAATGGAGAAGATTAGCATTAATGATTAAATATACAACTACTCCCATTACTGGAAGATGTACGTTAAAGGGATACTATAAGTGCCAGGAATACAAAGCTGTATTCCTGTCACTATAGCTCCCTCTGCATCCCCCACTACCCCCCATTTACTCACCTTTTCCCAGTACCGCTGCTCTGCCCCCTTCGATTGTCCGCAAGTAGCAAGCGAGCATTAGACCTTTTCATAGGAAAGCATTAAATTCACTGCTTTCCTATGGAGAAAATCTTACGCTGGAAGTCCTCATGCAGAGCGTGCAGATGTCCAGCTTCAGATACTGGACCAAAGGTAAGTTTCGATTCAGGAAGCCCTCTAGTGGCTGTCCGGTAGACCGAAGCTGCAATGTAAACATGGGTGCCTGTATTGTCCCTTTAACTTTATGCTCCCTATAGTGTCCCTTTAACGTTATGCTCCAAGTAACAAAAATAGAATTGTGACCTTTTCGTTCATTCATGGCCCATGGCTTTCCCAATTTAGGGTTTCATGCTTGTTGCATTCTTTTCTCCTTGTGTTTTCCCACAGTTCGAAGGTATATATGGCGGACCTGGAGTCTGCGTTACATTATTCTCTGCGAGTGGAGGTGGGTCGTTTCCACGTATTGGAAGGAGAGCGGCTGAAGGCACTTAGCAACTTTGTCAATGTGGTCAGAAAGGTGAGCTGAGAAATCTGTTTAGATCTATAATACATGGCATTAACCACTGATGTTTCTCTGGAGATGCTAATTTTTTTGTAAAGCAATGCAGGAGTCCTTAAACTTGTGAGTAAATTCGCTGTCTATCAAGTAAGATCGATGCTATTCAGGGGGCGTAGTGTTAAATGTTGGGAAATTCTGTTGGGACTGCTCCTCATTCAGCACTATGTTCCAGAATAGCAACTTGTTAATGTTCTTTAGTAATATATAATAATACCTTCATTAATATGGTCATTTGATTGTCAAGATAGGGTATCTGATGCATAGTAATATATATTAAGATGTTAAAAGCCGGGCACAGGATGGGAATCTATGTTTTGGGAACTTGTATAATATAGCCATGTGGCACACAAATTGTTACCGTGAAACCAAACACTGCGCTGCAGATAAATATATTTATTTAAGGTGTGTATTTTCCAGGCTGGGTGTATCACATTGTCCATGTTTATTTAGATTTGAGGCTTTGGTCTACAAAAGATTTCAGAGCTTGTTCCATGTACTTTACACCCACACAAAGCGAATCTAGCTCTGGCTCTGTACCAGATTTAGCAAACCGCTCATCAGCTGTTCTAGAACTTCAGCTGCCTAGACTATGGCAAAGCATAATGGGAGTTGTAGTGATTAACTGCTGGCAACACTCCAAATTCTGTGAAGTGACATTTTTCTGTTAAGTTTTAAAGTATCTAGGTCTATTTGTTTATAGTAGACTAACCGTTTATTAACCAAAGTGAGAATTCTAATGGAATTTTAAACTTAAGACCCGAGTCGCTGAACCGAAAGTATAGCCGATTTAGAGACTTTTTCCACTTTGACGCTTTTGGGCTAAATTTAAAATTCACTTTGAATTCTCAGTTTAGTAAATAACTCTGAGACTGCGTTGCAAACAGAATCTCAGACTGCAACAAAACATAGGCTCACAGACGTTCTAAACTGAAAAGCCTAATCCGAATTGATGTTCTACAACAGTGGTCTGCGTTCAATCAAAATAAAAGCTATACTTGTCTGAAACTAAAAACTGAAACATAGATCTCAAATTAATAAGATTTTTTCTTTCAATTCTTTATTTTTGTTTGACAGGGGGATACAGAAATACGTTTAGTCACATAAATGCAGTGGTACAACGGTGTTACAACATAGTCGAAATTATACATCTTATTGCATAATGTTTCAGTGACGGTAAAACATATGTCTAAAGAATATCTTTAGGCTAACTCTCATGAGGCTCTGCTGCACCATCCTAATCAGGCATTTGAATTTAGTATATAAAAAGAGAGACATAAGGTAAGATCTTAACCTCTTAAGGACCAAACTTCTGGAATAAAAGGGAATCATGACATGCCACACATGTCATGTGTCCTTAAGGGGTTAAAGGAACACTGTAGTCACCTGAACAACTTCAGCTTAATGAGGTTGTTCAGGTGAGAACTATAGTTCCCTGCAGCCTTTCTCATGTAAACACTGTATTTTCTGAGAAAATGCATTGTTTACATTGAAAGCTAGGAACAGTTGCAGTCACTCAGAGTGAACCAGAGGGACTTCTGAGTTGATGGAGGCATAATATGCCTCCATCCACTCAGATCTTTCAGTGTCTCCTCCCGCTGCATGCAGACACTGAACTTTCCTCATAGAGATTAATTGATTCAATTCATCTCTATGAGGAGATGCTGATTGGCCAGGGCTGTGTTTGGATCATACTGGCTCTGCCCCTGATCTGTCTCCTTGTCAGTCTCAGCCAATCCTATGGGGAAGTACTGTGATTGGATCAGGTTATCACATGTCAGCAGACTGCTTGTTTTTCCTGAGACTAACAGCATGGAGATTTACAGCTTCTGGCTTGATTACAGTAAGATGTTTACTATATTTATGGAGGCATGAGGGGCCCAGGGGGGCTAGATGGTGGTGTTAACACTATAGGGTCAGGAATACATGTAGTTGCACTGGTGACTATAGTGTCCCTTTAAGGATAAGAATAATGGTTCCCACAGCTTTGTCATTAAACGCTATTGTACAAAAGAAGAATCCAATGTAGTGTTACATACCATTGGCTTATATATATATTTTGTCGTAAAGTCGCTAATGATAGATGTATTCTTTAACTTGAATCTTGGAACGTGAAAATTAATAAGATTTAAAAGCAAATGTTAGGGAAAATGTCCAATTGATTTATCTACAGAAGATTAAAATCATTGGGAATTGTAGTAGATAAATTGTTTTAGAAAGCTGATTAAAGAAGGTGCTTCAATGGTATACTTTTATAAAGCCACTGTGAAACGTGTGCGAAACTTAGAAAAAATGGGACGGGAGAAGGGGTTATGGCAGTGATGGCGAACATGTGGCACGCCAAGCCCTCTCTGTGGGCACGCAGCCATAGGTCACGGGGTTCACGGGCGCCAGTCGGCAGCTATGCAGAGTAGGCTCCTGCCTGCCCAAAACAGCAGGCGCCTACTCTGCTTTCGTATCGGGAGGACCCGGAGGCCAGTGGACGGGATCTGAGAAGCAGCTCTCCTGTATTGCATTTTTTTGGAGATACTAATAAATATAGGCCTAATTTTAGCTATAATTTATATCATTATTTATCATTTGTATCACTGAACTCTTGTTTCGTTCTTCTTTTAAAACAAAAGATGTTAATTAGTTCAGACAACTGTATGAGTCGTGTTTTCTAAACTTAAACCTCAGTATTCAGGTTTAATTGCTGTGTTGGCACTTTGAGGAAAAGTTGGCATGTATTGCGGTTTGGGCACTCGGGCTCAAAAAGGTTTGCCATCATTGCGCTTCTGCAGTAAAAATAATAAACTAATTCAGTGGCTCCCTCTAGTGGCCAAAGATTGTTTTTGGTTTATGAAATCTGCATGATTTAGGACAGGGTTCTCCAAACTCTGGCCCTCAAGATGTGACTGAATTACAACTTCATTGTTTCTTTGAATGAAATAGGGAGCCAGAGAATGATGTTGGAGAAAAACAGCACTATGTAGATCAGATTAATTCAGTAGTTAAAGAAACACTAGATTTTCGGAATACAAATCTGTATTCCGGTCCCTATCTATATTAGCCTTCCTCCTCGTGCTGTAATATTAAAATAAAGCTTTTTACTCACCTTTTACTATCATCAAGGCTCACTGGGTGCTGCTCATCTCTCTGCCTCCAGTGATGTCTTAGAGGATGTGCTTGCGTGGTGAGCTGCATGCGTCGTCATTGCGTCTCATAGGAAGGCATTGGAAACAGTGCTTCTCATAGGAAAGCATTGAATCCAGTGCTTCTCATAGGAAGTCATTGAATCCAGTGCTTCTCATAGGAAGGCATTGAATCCAGTGCTTCTCACAAGAAAGCATTGAATCCAGTGCTTCTCATAGGAAGGCATTGAATCCAGTGCTTTCTCATAGGAAGGCATTGATCCAGTGCTTCTCATAGGAAGGCAGTGGAAACCGTGCTTCTTGTAGGAAGGCATTGAATGCAGTGCTTTCTCATAGGAAGGCATTGAATGCAGTGCTTTCTCATAGGAAGGCATTGAATGCAGTGCTTCTCGTAGGAAGGCATTGAATGCAGTGCTTCTCGTAGGAAGGCATTGAATGCAGTGCTTCTCGTAGGAAGGCATTGAATGCAGTGCTTCTCGTAGGAAGGCATTGAATGCAGTGCTCTCCTTTGAGCTTCCACATCAGGTGACCGGGTTTTACTCAGTGTTGCATTTAGATGAAGTGGTCGTGGTGGCGTTAGTGGTCCATTAACTTGCATATTTAGTTAAACATACTTAAACTTACAATTGCTTAATTTAAAATGTCCTGTAAAGTGATTGGAACAAACAGAAATTGCTCATGTGGAAAAAGTATATCTTTACATTTTAGTTCAATATACTATATGGAGCAAATATATAATATGGTCTTGTTGTAGTTTTTGAAGAAAATGAAAAAAATCCAATTAAGGTCTCCTGTCAAGGGATCCAATACTGTGTTGGAGAATAACAGCACTATGTGCTTTGTCAAAGTTCGTATAGGAAGGATTTATTTGGGCTAGCAACAGAGGACATTTAGAGGTTTTCAGCTTTGCCCATACATTGGTTGCTTCATTGGGGATCCTGTCTCTCATAGTGCAGTCCTTCTGTGAGTTCACCCACTTGAATGGATCGAGGAGAACAATCCTCAGTTTACTCTGCATTATGGCACCCATCAGCAGCTGTATTGATGAGTGTTCACAAGTTTCTGCCTACATTGGTCCTGTGGATGTTCCTGTGTCTTTGTGGAATGTTGAGTTACACACTGCTTGTGAGTGTATGTGTCACTGAACTCCATGTCCTCTGGTTATGGCCATTTTAGGTGGATGCCCTTTAATAGAAGTACCCAGTTTAGTAGTGCATGCCTGTGTCCTCCATTACCTGCTGGCTAGTTTGCTTTCTGTTGTATGCATGCCGCTTTATAGGCCTTTCCTATACTTTAACCATGGACATGTGCTGATATGTTAGTTACGTGGTGGCCAATTGACCGCGCTCCATATATCCTTTCGCAACCATAGCCTGTATTGTCTGCCCCTGCTCCCGTCCCTCTGTTACTGAGTTTCACACACTTCTCACAATATTATCTAATGTGCTAGCCTGCCTGTCTGCTTTTGGGGATGTAAGCCTTGCTCTCCTGACCATCTACTCCTATTCCTAGACATTTCTGTGGATGATGTGGCAGACCCTTGCAGTGCTTGTAAGGGTGGGAATGATGGTGGTTTGATAAACGTAAGGCTTCCCTATGTATGCTCTGTGGATGATGTGGCAGACCCCTGCAGTGCTTGTAAGGGTGGGAATGATGGTGGTTTGATAAAAGTAAGGCTTCCCTATGTATGCTCTGTGGATGATGTGGCAGACCCCTGCAGTGCTTGTAAGGGTGGGAATGATGGTGGTTTGATAAAAGTAAGGCTTCCCTATGTATGCTCTGTGGATGATGTGGCAGACCCCTGCAGTGCTTGTAAGGGTGGGAATGATGGTGGTTTGATAAAAGTAAGGCTTCCCTATGTATGCTCTGTGGATGATGTGGCAGACCCTTGCAGTGCTTTTAAGGGTGGGAATCATGGTGGTTTGATAAAAGTAAGGCTTCCCTATGTATGCTCTGTGGATGATGTGGCAGACCCTTGCAGTGCTTTTAAGGGTGGGAATCATGGTGGTTTGATAAAAGTAAGGTATGCTCTGTGGATGATGTGGCTGACCCCTGCAGTGCTTTTTAAAGGTGGGAATGATACTATTTTAAACCTTTGTTTATAATATATTTTTACACATTACTTTTATATCAGGCATTTTAAGCCTAATAATAGATATTACTTTTTAACCTGATACCTGACTCCGTTAAGTTCCTGTACCTGCTGAGTATCCTGACCCAGTGTGGAGAGAGAACTACAGTAGCCCCGTTGAGGGCCTTGTGGTGCTTCATGAATTTAAATCTTGTGAGTGCAATCAATAACTGCCGTGCTATACATTCATATTACTGTACTTCACTATGTATTGTTTATTTTAATTTTTTTATAGATTACAGCTGTATCCCTATTTTTGTATATATCTACTTTTTCTATGTATGTCCCGTGTCACACTGTGTGTACATCCTGTATGTGGTTGTAGGCCAAAGATGCACGGCATGTTTTAATTTGCTCCTGGAAGCAGTTCTCCTGGCTCCGGAATGCTCCTTGTCAGAGGGTTCTCAGGCTCCCTATGCGAGGACTCCCAGTATGATTGTAATTTGGGTCTCTTAGGCCTCCCGAAGGATTACAATCCTTTGGGTTAGTCTGTTCACTTTCTGAGCTTCATTGTGCTCTTCTCGTGGTTAGTGAAGTCACCTGTAAAGAGATGAGTGTGTGGGAGTCCCAATTCGTCTCTCCAAAGGAGGATAGTTCCTCTTTTTAATGGATAGTATAGTAAAAAAATAAAATAAAAAAAAATCACTTTTAAATACATTATACAGATAAATTTAAAGAAACACCTATAAAGTTTTATATAGCTGCAAAGTATCCTCGTTGCATTGTTGGTCTGCTTGCAACTGCAGCAGAGGTTTAGGAGATTAGTAGATTATCTTCCACCTGCAGTACCAGTAATCACATGAGATGATTGGAACAGCATTGTAAACTGATAGCAGCCGTACATACTGCAATCACATTATACACAGCCTGACTTACTATAGTTTGCTGTAATACAATACTAATCAACCTTCAGCACTTATTATGGCGGTAAGAGCATTATGGGAATTGTAGTCCACAACATCTGGGATGCTGAAGGTTGTCTACTCTTGCTGTAGTGTTACTGTTGCTTATAGTACCCCTTTAAATACTGAATTACGCTGTGTTACAAAGTGCCAGTGTTTCATAAATGATGCAGATTCAATCAACCAAAATTACTGGCTTTGGCCACCAGAGGGAGTTATTACAATGGTTTTATATTGGCCAGCGTGGAAAGCTGTCATGTTAGATTTTCCGTGTCTATTTTACATCCCATGTAAATCCCTGTGAATTGTGGAAATACAATTCCAGTGAGTCTCTGCCACCCTTAAAGAGACATTGAATGTTAAAAATAATTTATTTATTTTTTTCAACTCGAGTAGCTCTAGTCCAATAAGATGCTGGTACAGCAATTGAATTGTGCATCAATTTCCACACTCTGCCAATCCAACACTTCTCTTCAAGTAACAATCAATGCACTGCTTCTATATGCGATGCACTGGCCACATTCAGCTGAGCATGCAGTACGTGAAGACCTTCAAAAATCTTAAGGAGAGCCACCCAACAAGTGTGTTTTCAGCCAGATGTAAAGCATGATGTTTTACATTGTCCAAGAAATAAAAAGCAGCATTGATGCTCCATAAGCAATATGTTACGATGTAATGTATTCGTTGCTTGGTGTCCAATTAAAGTGATGCTGTAGGCATCATTGAGTTGGTTATAGTGCCTGGAGTCCTCTGGCGCAGTCCTTTCCTCTCTCTCCATTCAGAGTTAAACTATTTTCAAATAAGGGCCCCTAGCCACCCACTGTCCAGCAGCCCCTTCCGGAGCTACGGCTAAGGCAGAGATTGCACACGTACTTCTAACTGTACCGATTTACACAAATCTGAACAAATAATATGTTAAATACTTTAAAGATTTAGTCACTGTGGATGAGAGAACAAGCACTTCTCCATTCAATGACATATATGAACTTTAAATAATACTGTATCCACTCCTAAATGTAACACCGTGTATCCATCTGGGGATTATTTTTAAAATGAAAACTGTTTCACATTGTTTCAATAATAATAAAGCCGTGAACATTAAATGGTAGGACAGCCCCAGGGGGTGGACACTATAACCACTTCAATGACATGAAACGTTTATAGTACCTACAAAGTCCCTTTAAGTAGGCAGCAACTGTAGGACTCCCTTTTTTTTGGTTTGATGATAATCGTATCTAGTGTTGGGGAATTTGGTTCCAGCATGACATCAAACGTAGAGAATAACATGTGGAAGAGTAACAAGCCAGTCAGTAAGGACACGTGAGATGCTGTAAGAAAAGAATCACAATCCAAGTTGTAGAGAGAAAATGTCCCGTTCTATCCGGAGTTATGGGGAGCCTATGACGAGTACATTTTCTGCTGTATTGTGAAATCAGAGTTATGCAGTTAGTTTATAATTCCAAGATATAGAAGGGAATTCCCATCATCAAATGAATGATGCAATGCAAGGGCAGTCACCACGGAAACAAGTGGACTCTGCAGAGTGCATTCCATTAATGATTTTTACTCCTGTTTGTATCAAATTTTTTTTTTTTTTTTTTTTTATTACTACATTTGCAAGTCGTGTCACTTTTCAGATCACAACACTTTGCCTAGAGGTTTGCTAGACTAATATTATTACAAGTAGTTTTTTGTGTGCGTGCTTATGTTATATTTCGTTTTTTCTTATGTCTGATGTCTTTCTTTCACAGTATCTCCCTGCTCGCCCCTACCTGCGTACCCTATTGAATTCTCTCTACGTTTGGCTACGAGCACGCACCAGAACAAAAGTTTTGTTTGACGATTTTGAGGATGTCTTGAACAACAAGAATATGGTAAAATATTTCTAATAATTTCATGAATTTCTGTGTAATTACCGCACATTAGGTCCCTCCCTGGCTTACGGCGGGGGAGGAGCGTGGGCGGGGCCTCTCCCAGCACCGAGGGAAATCGGCGCTGGATTCAGGTAAGTGACTGAAGCTGTTTTAACCCCTTCAGCTGTGTATGGAGGGGGGGAGCAAGGGAGGGGGACAGTGCAGGAGCCTGTAGTGCCAGGAAAACTGCTTTGATTTCCTGGCACTATAGATTCACTTTAACATAATTTCTGTGATAAATATGATCAATTTTTTTTTTCCCCACCAGTCTGATAAATTCTGCTAAAATAGAAAATTACCCTCTTTAGTACTCCTTGCTACTTGCAATCTGACCTCAAACTAAAATGCGAATGGCCATATTAAAAAAAAAATTGGACTGCATAAAATATACATATGTATCACAAAAATCTGTGTCATATCGGTATACGTTCTTTGCTGAAATCTAACATAACCACTTTTAAAAATAACGGAATAACGTGAATTAAAAACTTTGAACATCATTTAAGTTACCGTATTCTGAAATGCCTGTCCTTTTCTAACGGAGCAAACTCATTACAATGCTATTTATAACTGGGCTGTTGGGAATATATAAGATATTACTGTGCTTAAAGGACCACTCTAGGCACCCAGACCACTTCAGCTTAATGAAGTGGTCTGGGTGCCAGGTCCAGCTAGGGTTAACCCATTTTTTTTTTATAAACATAGCACTTTCAGAGAAACTGCTATGTTTGTGAATGGGTTAAGCCTTCCCCTATTTCCTCTAGTGGCTGTCTCATTGACAGCCACTAGAGGCGCTTGCGTGCTTCTCATTGTGATTTTCACAGTGAGAGCACACCAGCGTCCATAGGAAAGCATTATGAATGCTTTCCTATGTGACCGGCTGAATGCGCGCACAGCTCTTGCCGTGCGTGCGCATTCAGCCGACGGGGAGGAGAAGAGGAGGATCGGAGGAGAGCTCCCCGTCCAGCGCTGGAAAAAGGTAAGTTTTAACCCCTTTCCAGAGCCGGACGGGAGGGGGTCCCTGAGGGTGGGGGCACCCTCAGGGCACTATAGTGCCAGGAAAACGAGTATGTTTTCCTGGCACTATAGTGGTCCTTTAACATACGGCAACTCGCATCTTTTTCTGGTTGAATATAGTAGGAATTACAATCCACAACATAGCCAGTGCCCAACATGGTTAGATGATACACGTGTACATGTATACTCTGAGTACACTGATGTATCCCGTTACTGATGACATGTACCATTCTCAGCTATGCTTTGTGGATGCTGCACTTTTTTACATGTGAGTCCATTAAAGCATCACTATAGTCACACTTGTTATGATGTGATTCAGACAAATGTTAGATTTCCTGCAGCCAAGACCAATAAGAAAATTGGAATTCAAAATGAATATCAGATATAAGACCAAAATAGAAAAATACACAAATTAGCTGTGCTTCAAGCTTGGCTAATTTGGCCCTAAAATAGTGGTTTAACTCCTAAATGGCAGAAAATTGAGCAGTGAGACTGCAGGGGCATGATCCTCTGAGTTAAGCTCATTCATAGGGGCACTGGGGATAGTTTAATGGTGGGGAGCGGGTGGAAATGATTTGCAATAGCTCAGAAACACCAAGTTTTTTTTTTCTTTTCTGGAGGGGAGGATGATAACCCCCAAAATATGGGAACAAATAGTATCTCTCTAAGTTTGGTTAATATGTTTTAGTCCTGCAAGGCCCCTCCCTCATTGGCAGATGTTTAGAGAAGTATACTTGATAGCATCTAGGCATGTAAAAGAAATGGGGCTAGTTTGGTAGCTGCTCTGTTTCAGCAGGTTTTGCACATGCCTCGTCTCTTTTAAGAAAGAATTTCCATTGAGTTGCCATTCGGGCAGCAGAGCCAGCTGCCAATAAGTGGAGGGATGCTATTGGCCTCTCTATTTAGGTGCCATCACTGGCTGATAGCACCAGGGGTGGGGTTACAGTGCCCACAGGAGAGAAATGCAATAAGGCATCTTAGAAGTAGCACGGAGAGAGCACTGCAGCTCCTGGCTAATGCCAAATGCAAGTTCTATTGTGTTTTTTCTTTCCCCAAAAAGCCCTAGGGACCTACTCAGGGCTGAATAAGCAATGGATTTTACTGAAATATATCTATATAGCCAGGAAAGCCCATGGGTGAGCACTTTGCTGTCTGTCACTAATAGTTGGAATAACTCCTACTGCACATACTCACTGTCTTCTTTACAGTGCTCTACACTTGAAACCTGCAGTACTGTGTGGTATAGTTGAGTATCTCCTTTTGTGGACAACGCTGTATGCTATGTCAGCTCTGCTTGTTGTATGGGTATCTCTGTAGTCCACCCAGCTCTGTGTATTGTATAGGTATATTTTTTTTCTCCCCGCTGTTTGTGGTATGTTTACTAAGCTCTATGTAGTTTATAGATATCTTTATGTTGTCCCAAGCTTGTTTCATTGTATGAGCATTTCTGTATTATGCTCAGCTCTCTGTATTGTATGAGCATCTCTGTATTATGCTCAGCTTTCTGTATTGTATGAGTATCTCTGTATTATGCTCAGCTCTCTGTATTATTCTTAGCTCTCTGTATTACGCTCAGCTCTCTGTATTACGCTCAGCTCTCTGTATTGTATGAGTATTTCTGTATTATGCTCAGCTCTCTGCTCAGCTCTCTGTGTTACGCTCAGCTCTCTGTGTTTCAGCTCTCTGTGTTACGCTCAGCTCTCTGTGTTACGCTCAGCTCTCTGTGTTACGCTCAGCTCTCTGTGTTACGCTCAGCTCTCTGTGTTACGCTCAGCTCTCTGTGTTACGCTCAGCTCTCTGTGTTACCCTCAGCTCTCTGTGTTACGCTCAGCTCTCTGTGTTACGCTCAGCTCTCTGTGTTACGCTCAGCTCTCTGTGTTACGCTCAGCTCTCTGTGTTACGCTCAGCTCTCTGTGTTACGCTCAGCTCTCTGTGTTACGCTCAGCTCTTTGTATTGTATGAGCATCTCTGTATTATGCTCAGCTCTCTGTATTGTATGAGTATATCTGTATTATGCTCAGCTCTCTGTATTACGCTCAGCTCTCTGTATTACGCTCAGCTCTCTGTATTACGCTCAGCTCTCTGTGTTACGCTCAGCTCTCTGTGTTACGCTCAGCTCTCTGTGTTACGCTCAGCTCTCTGTGTTACGCTCAGCTCTCTGTGTTACGCTCAGCTCTCTGTATTGTATGAGCATCTCTGTACTGTATAGGGAGGAGTAAAATTCTGGAGGAGGAGTCTGGCGCCCCACCATCTTAAAGCTTCACCAGCCACCACTGATCTATACACTAAAACTGCATCATTAAGGTCAAGTTGTTTTGGTGCTTAGTTCTCCCTACAAAACACTATGCCGTTGTATATTAGTCTGGATCCTTTGAATGTAGTAGACTTTGTATCTAGGAATATTTCAGGCTTTATGTAATTCTAATGTTCTGTTGAATTGGATAGTTTTGTTTTTGTTTTATTTTATTTTCGTGCTTTTTAATTCCCATGTCTGTCTCCATCCCTAGGACCAGAAGGCAGTTCTCTCTTCTGAAGAGAACTATGTTGGGTGTCAGGGTTCCAAGCCGGAGTTCCGTGGGTTTCCATGTTCCCTGTGGACCCTATTTCACATGCTAACTGTCCAGGCCTCTGAAATGGCAACACAAAGGACAGTAAAACCTGGTGAGTGTAACAAACACACTATTCTTTTAAACAATGATGTTTATCTAGCCTTTGAGAATTGTATAGTATTCTATTGCAAACCCACCCGGTCCTGGGGCTTTTCCTGCCTTTTTGTTTTTATTGCCCAAATTACCTTCTCCTCCCTAATGGGGGCATTAAGGCTCTTTTTTCATCTAGGAGAGAGAGATTGTTGTGTGTCTCTCGTGTCTCATAGGATCTTTTTGGCCAGGGAGGAGGGACATAACACTTCAAACCCTGGTGGGCCAGTGAAGGCACGTTCACTTTATCCTGCAGCTTCTCTGGCTGCAAGCTGACTCTCCTGTCCTATAGCGAGCACAGCACTGTATCAGTGTTGCCATGGTAACTTACAGCCACGCTCATACTACCCTGCTCGCAGGAGGCACGCACTGTCTCCCGGGTCCTTCCCTCCCTCTGCTGGCACGAAGTGCCAGCGAGGGTGGTCTTTGATCTCCTCACCGGTCCGAAAGGGCTCACATCAAGGCTTGCTCTGCATAAGCCGGCAGGGGAGATGAAAGGATGTTCCCTGCCAGCCTTGGCTCATGATCATCGCGGCCCACCGGGGGTTTGCCCAATGGCCAGTCCAGACCTGTGCCGCAGAACTCACTACCAATAAGTGTGGATGCACTTATGAAAGGGACAAATAATTGATGAACAGACCTATAGCTCATATTCCAGAGGTTTGTTTTGGTTGCTGCTGTCCTTATTTTTTTATTATTTGTGTTTTGTTTATTTTTAAAAACACTGTATTATATATTAAGACCAGCCATGTAATCAAGTGGTACATAATTTGGGAAGTCAACATAAAGATTGGTTACCTGACTACTATATATGTAAAAGTGTAGCATTTCTTTTAAAATCTTATCTGTTTGGATCTGGGTAAATAGACTCCAAAGCTGATCTTTCTATTCAGTATCCAATCATTGACATCTTTGTTCCAATCCTACCAAAAGCTTACAAGTGCATTTTCTTTCTTCTTTTCATATTTATAGAACTATTTAATTTGTGATTCTCTGTGATCGATCCCCGTTCTGCATTCTGCTAAAGTATCCAATCTGATTTAAATCAAACGTAAAAAATCAAAGCGAAACTATCAACTTTTAAAGTAATTTCCAATCTAAGTGGCTGCTCAAAGTCATAAAATATTTAAAAGAAAATATAATCCTAAAATGGACAACCAATTCCAGAACAATTTCTGCATTTAATACCATTAAAAGGGATCTTGTTAAATGGAATGATGTAATTATGTGCTGGCTTAGAAAAATGAATTGCATTTAAATAAATATATTACCTAGATTTCTGTCTGATGCAAACCATTACAATTACATTGCTTCTAACTGTTTTCAATCTCTGCTAAAACTATGAACAAATTATATATATGTGTTTTAAAAAAAAAAAAAAAAAAAGTCAAACACTATATCTTTCAGAATGTGAGGCATGGCCATTAAAGTTAGCCGCACTGCATTTTGGGAAAATACATTTTTCAGAGATTTTAGATTATCGGATGTTGATAACATTTAGAGGTTCTGTCTAAAATAGTGACCTTTATATTCCAAAATGTACAATGTATAATAACCAATGGTTAAAGGGAAGCTGTCACTTTTAGCATTGTGTTTAATCATCCCCTACATTTTGAAGTGTTTTGTGAGGTCTGAAATATAAAATTGAATAAATGTTGAAATCCACACTATTGTGTTTACTGCTATTTTGAAAATGGGTGCCTCCATCTTGGCTGCCTGTCAGTCATTGTTCTAAGCCCCGCCCTTTGCGTCTGGCAGTCGGTATAGAGGGAGCATAGAGAATGGAAGGTAAACAAAAACAATGATTCTGTTTCTCATTCTCCATTACTTTGTGTGCCCTGGCTGTGCCTGGATTGTAATGTAATTTACCACATTTTTAGTATAACTAAAAAGCGAGCCTCAAAAAAAAATAAAAAATTTAACACCAGTCATAGGTGATTTTTTTTTAAATTCTTTATTCAATTATGTAATTACCTGAAAAGTGACACTTCTCCTTTAAATATTTAGAAAGTAGGGCTTTATTTGCATTTGCAGATGTTTTAAGTCTATTATGTTTTTAATACCCCTGTTTCTAAATTCACTATCTTCAATATGTTGAGACTGTTAAAATAAAATGGTAACTATTTTTAAATAAAATTATTTTCGGGTAGACCTTGCTTGTGTAGGTTCCTTATGGACCTTCTAACTGCCTGTGGAACGAAATACTTTAGATCGGTTCTAGGCTCTTTTCCATTGTCAATTGGTTAAATAGTTGTCAAGGTTCTCATTCCCTAAGAAACCTACAGAGATCTTGCTTCCTCTAGGACCTAACATTACCAGTTGAATTTTTTTCTGGACCCTCTCATTGCCTCAGTGAAATGCTGTACTTCCCTACATTATTTGTGGAATATCAAATTGCCAATATTGTCTTTTATACATCAAATTGTATGAATTTTTCACACCTTTTAGATGTTTCTTGTTTCTGGAATAAAATAATTTTTGTCTTTTTTTTACCATTTGATTTACACAACTTATGGCACATTATAGCATTAGGAGTACAAATGTGTATCCCTCACGTGATAGTGTCCTAGTCACTGTTTAGGTAACCGCCCCCAAAAGGGTTGAAACATGGTTAACTCACCTTTTTGTCCCATTCTGCGCTCTCCACGCCTGATGCAGCAATATGTCACGCTGCACCAATCAGAGGGTCTCTGGGTTTTACTTGGCCACGTTGAAGGAAGCCCCTCTTGTTGCTCTCAGAAGGACTGCCACTAGATTAAATTATTCCCTGCAATCTAACGGTTCCCGTTCCTGCAGAACAGCGATATTTTACATTGCAAGATTAAAACGAGGGGGCATGGCACTCATATAACTTATTGAGATGACATGGTCTGGGTGCCTGTGGTATTCCTTTAACCAACAGTTTGATTGCTCAAAATCTGTATTATTGTGATACAAAAAAATAAATCTAATATTTTGCAGTTGTAAAAATGTAAAAATATTCACACCGCTTGAGAATAAATATTATGCAAGATCCTGTACTTGTTTAACACTTGATGGGCTCTTTCCTCTCCAGTGGAACACTGGAATATTTGTGTCTATATTCCCCTATGGCTAGTTCACAGTCAGTGGCAACATATGATACTGTAAGTCAATTGAACAGAATGTGATCATAATATCTATTAAAACACCGCTCTCTGACTTCATTGTTTTCCTCTCTTGTTTTGGGGTTTTAGCTCCCCGGGAGGTGCTCTCTGCGATGAGAGGTTATGTTAAATATTTCTTCGGCTGCAGGGAGTGTGCTGAGCATTTTGAACGCATGGCCCAGGAGTCTCTCCGCACTGTCCGCACCCTGGATGAAGCAATAAAGTGGTTGTGGGAACGACATAACAGAGTTAATAAGCGATTGGCAGGTGAGAATACAAGAATGGATTGCAGTGCTTAACTTTATTTAAAGCGGCAGTGTCATGCCGAACTTACCTTTCTTTAATCACTTCCTCTTTTTTTCATCTCTCAGGATCTGGTCTTCATTTCTTCCTCGCTGCTCTAGTTTTCTTTAAAACATAAGACAAAGTAGGGATTACTTTGTTTTATGGAGGTTTCCTACGCTTGACCATCTATGACGGAGGAGGAAAGTGTGCTCTGTTTCCTGTGGTCAGAGAAATTTTCCCACAGTTCTCCCCTTTCCTCATTGTTCTCCTGATGCCTCCTTTTCGTAGCAGCATAGCGAGTAGGGGCATTCTGGAGATTTTAATCTCCCTTATGCTATTATGGGGGTTATATTGACCCCCATCAAGTGATGGAGGACAAGGGGGGCTTAGGAAGTGGTGGGGAGCACAGTTCCCTGCCGCTTCTATTTTTACAAATGACAAGGAGAGAGCTGCAAGCTGGTAGCTCCCTCCTTGTAATAAACCGAACGAACAAAGAGGTCTTCGTTCATTCATTTTAAATTTCTATTCATGAATGAATGAATGAATAGATGAAATTCCTGTTCGAATGTCCAAGTGTTTAACTGAGCATGCGCGGGAATTTCACAGCGCTATCTAGTGTGGGCAGAAGACGTGTCCCACAGGGACTTCATCTACCCACACAAAGATGGCAGCGCCCAGGACCTAGTTTCAGGCACAAAATAAAAATGCAAAAATAGGTAATATGGGGGGCTTAGGGGCATTTGGGGGTGACTAGGGAGACAATTAGATGTAATGGAGTCTGGATGGGGGTTAAAAAACAAACAAACTGGATTCGGCCATGACAGTGCTGCTTTAAGGTGCAGTATAGACTCCGATTAACCATTGCTTACCTAATCGCAACCTTTGTATCACTTATTACGTAACATAAAACCTGCTTAAAAAGATACGTCCTTTTTGAAGAGACACTTTGATGTACTGTAACTAAAAGTAAACAAAAATCTATAGTAGCTATGATGCATGGTGTCATTTCACTGCAGTATGTTGATAATAAATTAAAATAATAATAATCACACTAGGCATGAAGCTCTTCTCATGGACCAATTTAAATGTCTTTTTCCTGCTCTTCCCACAAGGTTTAGATTAGACATTTTATCAGCTCATTGCAATAATGTTACTGATAGCGTCCACATGGAAGTCCACTGTCTGCCCCTCCTTTTACCAACTAACTGATAAAATTCAGCAATATTATCTATACGAGTGGATGTCTCTAGATAGGGCTCATAAGAAACAAAAATTTGACACGACTTGGCAAAAAATGGATAGCACCCTAATCCAGATGAAACCCTCCTTACAAACGACACTGCGGCAAAAGGAAACAATCTAGAGTCTATACATCCAAACGCTTTACTCCACAGCTCTCAGTATTTAAGTATGAGGTCTTTTAGTTTTGATTAATGTTTGTTATTGTTACATGAGTTATGTAATATCTACACTTAACGCAGCCCTTCAAAACCATTATGTATATCTACGTATTACATTGTATGCATAGCAAGAAATGTTCTTTTCTGCAGTATGTAACCATTACTGATATTTTTTTTCCTACTGGGGAAAAAAAACATTAAATTCCAATAGGGGAATTTTTAAAAAAACATACGGAATGCTCAGGTTTTCATCTATTGCTTTATGTTAGATTGGTTTCCTCCTCTGGATCAGAGCTGCACCATGTTGATGAAAGCATGTCTGTTTTACATGGAGGATGCACTACTGAGGTGTTTGACATAGTCAAAGTCGTCCATACTTTTAATTTCTGTGTAGCTTTATTATTGCAAGTGCAGGTCAGGAGAGAAAGTGGGGTTCTTGGTATTTGAATTCTCACCCATCGATTTTTCTTTTATTAGGTGCAGCGAGTGAAGACCCAGACTTTCCTAAGGTTCAGTGGCCCACGCCCGAGCTGTGCCCACTCTGCCAGGTTAAAACAGAGAGTGAATTGGTGACCTGGGATGATCCCAATGTTATGCATTTCATGAAGACCCATTTCTCAAAGGACAATATAGCAGACGCCTATCTGGTGGATGAGGATGTGCTCCTAGAAAAACAAAAGAAGGCAAATGAGAAAAGAGACAAAAGAGATGTCACAGATCAGGAAAATAAAGAAGAAATAAAAGTGAACGAAGACTTTTCAGAGAACACGTTTGACAAGAAACAGGAAGAAGGTGGCAAGATGAGCAGTGTACATAAGAAAGAACCAAAAGACCGTCCACGTCACAAACCAACCATCATAAAGATGAAGCCTGCAGTACCCTTGAAACAAGCAGTTCAAGAGGAAATTTTGGATCTAGATTCATATGGGCAAGGCCTGTTTTTGAGCAGATCTTTGCAGGATTCCAGCCTACATAAGGAGAACCGTGCTCTTCATCCTAAGGTCCTCCACGAACCTCAAGAGGCAGATTTTGATGAAGCTGCTGTGAGGAGTCGTCTTCTGAAGAGGGGGGTTGATACACAATATCTCATGGGGGTAGTAATAGAGAACGGAGATGTGAATTGGAAAGGACGCTGGGTAAAAATGCTTGAAGGGGGATTCTCTCGCTTGGATATAAGCTTATGCGTTCTTCTTTATTTCCTTTCCAGTATGTGTCTGTTTGCCATGTACCTATACATGAGTCTCCGAAAACGCTGCCTTCGAAAGCGATATTTGTTCCCGCAAGCATGATGTGGACTATTCTCTAACCTTTCACCTGCCATTGTATATTTTACAGAGAGAACTGTGCATCTGTTTACATTTTTATTAAAGTGCCTTTTAACCCATAGCAGTCTTGAATGTACAAGGGCTGTCCACTATAGAGCCAAAGAAATTTTAACAATATACGTGCTTTATCAGCTGATGCCCTAAAAAAGTCAACCAAATCTGACAAAGATACAGTTTAACATTCAAATAAATAAACATTATTTTGAATAATTTATTGAAACTCCTTGTAGAAAAGGCATTTGTGTAGTTTTCAAAAAAATATTGGATTAAAACAGCTGATCGTATAAGCGGTTGTCCATTTTCATGATACTTTTCAAGGAATTTTACTATTACCAATTACATACAATAAATCATAATCTTAGAAAAACTACTGTGTGCAGAATTGCAAGGCAATCATCCTGATCAAGATAATAAAACTGGTTTTTAATTAACCAATTTTTTTTGTTTTGTTTTGTTTTCCTTTTTTTTAATTCTTTATTTTTGTTCACTCAGCATGTAAATAATACATTACTTGGGCTGTCGCCCCTGATATTCATATATAATGGTCAAGACATAGTTATTGTCTCATTCACAACAACATGCAGAGTGATGTTTTTATAATAACAAGGTTATCAACAGTTCCAATACAATGATGCAGGCCCCCTGGGACACAACAGTGAGGTACATAGGATATCATCATGTCTCATGGAAGCTAAAGTGCACCAGGGGGTCACCCCTTCCAGGATTTTACATCACTGGGTTATCTCAACTCTATTGTGGGTACTAGAAGGAGTGGGGGGGAGGAGAAATCGGAGCCAGTGCTAGTTTTAACATCTCTAGCGTGTGACCGCAAGATGTGCGGGTTGATTCCCCTGAGCACGTACCGTAATCATAGAACGTAAAACAGAAAGTGGGGATGTGTATCTACCCACTCTGACATTTCTAAATAAGCAAATTATGCGAAATTAAAAGAGAATGAACAACCATTAAGCAAAATAACATTATTAACTTGGTAAGCATAACCACGAGTCATGGTGGCGGAATGTGTGGCATCCTTAAGGATGTGCAAGTTTCAGCTAAGCATAAGTCTCTCAGATGGTATGTTTTCCCTTTTTTTAAATGGGCTGTATGTCACAAATGTGATTGCATATTTTGCCTACATTTATTTCATTTACCAACATCCGCTTTATGATCCATATGCTTATATGGCTGCTAGTTACCATAGGAAAAGATAAATGAATGATTCTAAGTCCTATGTTACTAACCAGGACTAAAAGTTACTTGCCACTGCAAGTCTGGAGGGGTCCATGGCACACTCACTTGGGGTGAATTTCTACTCGCCAATTGTTTGCTCGCCAGTGGATGGTGGGTGATTGGAACCTTTAAACCATGCTTAGAATTATGTAGTTTGGCATAGAAGGTGCTTGATATATAAATGTCCATGACGCTCATTTAGATTTTTGCATAGTTGAGCATCATGTAGAATATATTCTACAATCAAGCAGTGGTTATTGTTTGGGCTAAATTGTTTGCTGCAAAATAAATTGCTATTTAACCCCTTAAGGACACATGACATGTGTGACATGTCATGATTTCCTTTTATCCCAGAAGTTTGGTCCTTAAGGGGTTAAAGGGATATGTAAAACTATATAATCCCTTATGTTCCTTACATCTGTTATGTTGCTGTATATAAACTTGTTTCCAATGTATCCCTGCAATTGTGTGTCTTTTATGTGTATTTCAAACGTGTAACAAGGTGGTATTGACTGGACACCCCAGGACATATGATCATGTGATAAATCTTCTTGTATTCTTCCTGGTAAAACACTTTCTTAATCATTAAAGGAACACGCTGGTGTGATAGAATTTATCTTGATTCCAAGGCGCAAACTTATAGGTGTCAAATAATATCCTATATTAAAATTGGCTAACTTGGACTCAGGAAATTCTTGATGCTTAAACAACACTTAAGACCATATATGTCTAGTTCCAGGAGCAGAGAGCCCCACCTAAGATGTCTCTTCTCTAATCTTTTTGCTCTTTCTTACCTTGGAACTTATTTGTTATGTGCACATGACATTCATCCCTATGTATTATCTGTACTCCCTTCCTATTACTGTTCTATGAGTATTTGCACGTAAGCACTTACTTTTTAATGTATAAAACCCAGCTGATGAATAAAACGTCAGAGGCTTATTTTGAATACCAACAGGTGTCTGGTGTCTAATTCTCGCTTCTCCAAGTGCACTTGTAACAACAATTTGGGCTTCCTCTGAATATAACAAAGATCACCATTTCTGATCCACAACAATTTGGTGCCGAAACCCGGGATCTGACGGTCGAGAGACTCTGACACTAGCATACAGGTGGACATCCCTCTGACAGTGAAATCAGCTGTACAGCAAGGTAAGAAAAACTTTTTTTTTCTACCTTTATCAATTTCGCTCTCAGATCCACGTCCTTCTAGTCTGTCTGGGTAAAGAACGACTTAAAAACGTCTGATCTAAAGAACTTGTTTTCTGTGTTATTATGGTTATATTCAGGTGGAGGTTGTGTTATGTCTTGTGAAAGGAATCTTGAGATAGTGGAATATAACTGTGGGTTGTAAGTTATTTTTATTGTTTGCCTTGTCATTTGTTTTATAATTTGAGTTAGAATCCTCCAAGGGCAGATCTCCTGATCTGTGTTTAGAAGACAAAACTGTGAAAATTCCACTGCAGCGGTCATACGTGTTTTTTTTAAATACACTGGTTTTGTACAGTTTGTCTTGTGTAAGGAAGTAATTAACCCTTACAAGTTTTAAGATGGGTAGCTCTGAAAGCACCCAAGGGGGATTTACGGCTTTGACTATTGTCAAGCATCACAAAGGACAAGGAGCAATTAAGAATGTTAAGAGGTTACTTAAGAAAGCTGGCGTGCCCTCACAGGGCACTCTAGACCCACATATATGGAGTGAATTTATGGCAAATTACAGAGGTTGGTTAGAAGATAATGACTTAGTAGAAGTCGCACAAAAATGGCATGATACTGCTGTTGAATTAACTAAATGTGGTTGTAGAGAAACCACCAGGAAAGGTGTACCATATTATCAATGTTTTGGACCTTTAGGGTCCCAGAGTAGGCAAGATCCTGGGAAAAATCTTGTAAACCCACCCCTTTACCAGGATAATGCAGGGACTCCTTTGGTCCCTAAAGGCCAGGCGATTTCCCTTTTACGGGGATCAAAACCTCTCTTTCCAGTAATATTACGCAGTGGGACTTCATATGGTGTCCCAGTGAGACCTATGGGTTCATTAGAGCAGGACGGTAGTCCAGACTTAAAGGAACCCCTAGTTGCCCCCATAGACACTCCAGTGGGGCCTTTAGCTCCACAATTTTCTACTCCCATGATACCCAAAGTTGAGAGTGTATACCATGAGAACAGACAGCCGAGCGCAGGTATCCAATACTGGGAAGAATATAAGCCCTGGACACCCAGTGAACAACTGGCAATAATACAGCAGCTGGCAGATGTTGAAAAGGCCCCCTTAGCTCTGCTCTAGTCTCTATCCACAATTCAAGCTACTTACCAGTGTACATGGATGGATTTAAAACAGATTGTGGCACTAAAAGCTGGCCCCATTTCGGCTAGAATAATTGCTAAATATACATGAAGATAACCTCAGAAAAAGCAACATGCAAACAAATGAATGGTTTAGAACCAAGTCTGCATCTGGAGCATGCTATGTCACTGTAATGAGAGAAAGGGCTAAGGTAAAGGCAGAGGAACTAGCCCATAAATTAGAAGATATACTACAAGGGAAAGATGAATCTGTAGTAACATTCTTCACCAGACTACAGATGGCTTGGGAGGCATTGGGTTACACTGATGTTGTAACCACTTCGACCAGACTGCTTATTAACTGCTTCATGGATGGTATCCACATACTCATAAGGACTGGTCTCCAAAGTGCTAGACCTGAGTGGAGAAGTTTAACCTATGGTGATCTGGTGAAGGTGGCTAGGGGAATGGAAGTTAATCTAAATACTAGAAAGAGGAGCACACCTCTAATGGCTGTAACTGTCCCTAGAGCTGGTGGAGACAGAAGGCAGGTAGACTGCTGGAATTGTGGCAGGAAAGGACACATTAAACGTAACTGCAAGTGTCCTCCTAAAAATAGAAAACCCCAGGATTCTAATGATAACTCCCATGACAGCCAACCACCTCCCCACCCCCAATAGGAAATTGGCAAACCAGTGTCCCTACATATTATAAATATCCCTGACTCTGCAGGACCCTCACCCATTATTAATGTTACACTGCCCGGGGAACGAATAGTCCCTTTCCTGTTGGACACTGGCGCTGCTAAACAAATGTTACAGGAAAAATGTGTTCCCGTATGAGAAATCTAATGATGTATTATCATGTGTAGGGGTGGATGGTATCGAAAATGACATTCCCCTTACCCACAAGCTGAAATTGAAGCTACACGACTCTACTGCCCTTGTAACCACTACTTGTCAGCCCTCATGCCCCTGCTAATCTACTAGGCAGTGATATACTGTCTGCTCTTAGTGCAAATATCCAGTATAGCCCCACTGGACAAGTAACATTGTCTGTGCCTTTGGAGGACAAACAAATGATATCTCTTTCAAATGTTCTGGCAACTCTCACTATGCCCAGCCATGTGCCAGAACCTACCATTGACTTGTCCTCAGTGCCTGATTCCTTATGGGCTACAGGGAAGACAGATACAGACAGACTCTCTGTGCCCCCAGTCAAAGTGAATCTCCTGCCCGGAGCCAAACCTCCCTATCAGAAACAATACCCCCTAAGCCCAGCACAGGAAGATGCTATTTTGCAATCTGTTCAAGAGTTTCTGCAGGCAGGGTTAGTTGTCCAGACCACCTCCCCTTGTAACACACCATTGTACCCAATTAAGAAAAAGCAAGAGAAAGGGAAACCTGTGGTCTACCGTATGGTACATGATTTGAGGGCAATTAATGCTGTAACTGAACTCATTGCCCTTAATGTTCCCAACCCACACACCTTGTTGGCACAAATACCACCTTCCTCTAAGGTATTTACTGTTATTGACTTGACAAATGCATTTTTCAGTGTCCCCCTGGATCCCGACAGTCAGTTTTTATTTGCATTTACACATAAACACAAGCAGTACACTTGGACAGTATTGCCACAGGGCGCACAAAACTCACCCACTTTGTACAGCATGGCTATGGCACAGATTCTTGAAGAGTGGCAAAGGCCAAATAACGTAATTTTATTGTAGTATATCGATGTCCTACTCCTATGTTGCGATAAAATGGAATCTTGTATTGTAAACACTCTTTCCTTGCTAAAATTCTTGGCAGAAGCAGGCTGTAAAGCGACAAAAATGAAACTGCAAGCATGTGTAGAGAAAGTTCTTTTCCTAGGACATTGCATTTCCCAGAACATAAAACATCTCACGGAGAGTGGAAAGACTGTAGTTCAAAATATTAACATGGTGGTAAACAAAGACCAATAGCGTACTACTCCACCAGATTGGACCCTGTTGCTAGGGTTGCCCCCTCACGTGTTAGAGCAGTGGCGGCTGTTACTGCCCTCCTGGACAAAGCCACTGATATTTATATACACACCGCATGATATCAACAGCATACTGTTACAAGTTCAACCAATACACATACATACTGCAAGGCATCTCAGAATGCAATGTGCCTTGCTTATGCTACCTAATGTTACTCTTAAAAGGTGTATGGTGTTAAATCCATCTACATTACTTCCCCTGGATTTAAAAGAGGAGAGTGGGGATAGTGGGAATGGTACTTGTACTTCTGATCTTTTTGTAAATTCACTTTCACCAGATGAGTTAGCTGATGCCCAGGTACCCCATGATTGTGCAGCACTAATGGCACAAGAAACAGCAGATTCTCTAATCTAATCTGCATCTAATGCAGATTTTGAGTTTTGAGGTTTTTTGTAGATGGTTCCAGATATGGTGATGAGAAGGGTAATTTCCACACTGGATATGCTGTAGTCTCTGCACATGAGGTAATAAAAGCTGAACCACTCACTCCTCACTGCTCTGCACAGGAGGCAGAGCTGAAGGCACTCGCTGAAGCGTGTAAAATGGCTTCTGGTAAGACTGCTAATATTTATACAGACTCTCACTATGCTTTTGGTATAGCCCATGATTTTGGCCCTATATGGCGGGCTCACGATTTTCTCACCTCAGCAGGAACTCCAATCAAGAATTCTGAAGCCGTGAGTGCACTTATGGACGCTATCCTGCTACCCACTCAAGTAGGCATCATCAACGTGGCAGCTCACGTGAAGATCACAGATGAAATCACAAAGCAGACAAAGCTGCCAAGCAAGCAGCAATTCAAGTTCATCCCTCTACAGGTAATACCTTCCTACAAGTTGTTCTTACAGATGACGCCGTTGACTACAATATACTGTTGAGCTTGCAAAGACAGGCAAGCAAGGAGGAACATGACCTCTGGAGGAGACAGGATGCAGAACCTGATGATGACGGAATGTGGTTTGCCGTGAGTGTTATACCCCATGATGGCCCGGGTTGCCCATGGGCCTGCGCGTCTGTACGGGATGCACATGGGCAGCATGGTGGATGCCCATTGGGTGGCACCCGGATTTACTGTTGCAATCTCTCGCCTAACCATGACCATGTTTTCCAAATCTGACCTGATCACTAAAACCACCCAGCTACACAAACTGCTGAGAGACAGGAGAGATGTTAAAACCACTCTTAATGCAGATTGTAACCCTGAAATCACTCTCTTATCTAAAGCCGAATACTCTGCCCTAGCATACACCTTGGTAGGAGTCCCAGGCTTAGCACTGTATAATACCCGAGTAGTTAATGCTGTAACCTGTTCCCTTGCAAAAGGTTTAAATGCCACTTCACACACCCTAGAAGAGCTACTTATGGACAACCAGGCAAATAAGAATAGAGCAGCCATTGACTACTTACTAATGAAACATGACTTAGGCTGTGAAGCTATTGTAGTATGTGCTGTTTTAACCTATCTGACCATGGCACTATGATCCATAAACATATAAAAGATTTACATGACTTAGTACCGGATATCAAACAGGATACTGGCTTCTTTGGGGATTGGGATTGGACATTTGGGTTAGGAACATGGTTGACTTTACTTAAGAATATTTTGTACTTTTTGCTATTAGCTGTATTTGTCATTATGGCCATTTTTCTAACCTTTAGATTTTTTTCATGTGTATTAACCTCTCTATGTAAAAGCAAACCTACTGTTGGTCGTACCTTAACTTACATTCCAGCTCCGACTTCGGAAAGGTTTTATGATGTTACCTCGCCTAACAAATGAAGGAACTCTCCTCCGCTGATTCTGGTGGTCTCTCAGACCGAAGGGAACCGTGGTGAAGCAATAAATGAAAGTCCCACAGGCTTTGGCTAGCAGGCCTGAAAATACCTTGGACATTTGGGTGACCCTTGGATCAAAAGAGGGGATTGTGATAGAATTTATCTTGATTCCAAGGTTCAAGCTTATAGGTGTCATATAATGATATCCTATATTAAAATTGGCTAACTTGGACTCAGGAAATGCTTGATGCTTAAAAAACACTTAAGACCAGATATGTCTAGTTCCGGGAGCAGAGAGCCCCCACCTAAGATGTCTCTTCTCTAATCTTTTTGCTCTTTCTTACCTTGGAACTTATTTGTTATGTGTACATGACGTTCATCCCTATGTATTATCTGTACTCCCTTCCTATTACTGTTCTATGAGTATTTGCACGTAAGCACTTACTTTTTAATGTATAAAACCCAGCTGATGAATAAAACGTCAGAGGCTTATTTTGAATACCAACACGTGTATGGTGTCTAATTCTCGCTTCTCCAAGTGCACTTGTAACAAGAATTTGGGCTTCCTCTGAATATAACAAAGATCAACATTTCTAAACCAAAACACTGGGCACCAACACAGTTTAAGTGCATTTGAGGTTTTGGCTTCAGACTCATGCTGTGGTTTTCTCCCTGTTCAAATCTCTTTGGTTTTGCTTTTAAATAATTGTTTTGCAGCATTCTGCAGAATTGCCCAATTCCTTCCACAAAATCTCTTCTTGCTTGGAAGGTAAATCGTGCAGCTCAGCCAATGAAGATCACTGTCCTCTTACTACTGGTATAGAATTTCAAAGCTATACTAAGGGGAAAGGGTACAAAATGCTACAAAATAGTATTTACACTGACTGTGGGGCAGACTCGTGTTGGCATCTCAGTACACACTCTTCTCTGATAGGGTGAGCTGAGTATTATTTATTTATAAAATATTTTACCAGGATGGATATATTGAGATTCTCTCGTTTTCAAGTATGTCCTGGGTCTTTGTCCACAAAACATTGCATTGTTACAATAGGATACAATATTACAAAAATACAATATACAAACTATATATATATATATCTAAAAATAAAAATCCAGTGCACTCCCTTATCTACTAAGCAGCTACTTTGGTGCTGACAGATTTTGCTAGTTTTATTAAAAACACCTAATCTAGGCAAAAAATAATGGGGGTTTAGTAACATTATATGATCATACATTGCATAAGGCTGCTACAACGTCAATGTACCACCATCTCTGGCAGGTCCTACTCTCACAACCAACTGTCTACTAAATGAGCTACTCACTTGGGGAACTCCTTTCATCTCAAGTTCTCTGCAGTACAAGGCTAAATAGGGTCCTGAGATGAGGCACCTGTGACAGGGAGGGGTGCAAAATCAAGATGCTGGCTAGACTCCTAAATATATATATTTACATATATAAATATAATACATAACAGGTAATAAATATATTCAACCATGACAGGTGCATTCTGTGCTGAGGTATATTGCCATAGATTTCTTAATAGATTTTAGATTGAATGAAGATTTGACTGTGTCCCTGAGGTTATTCCATAATTGCGGTGGTCTGCAGGAAAATGAGGATCGAGCCACTTTATTTTTGTATTGCAGTATGCTAAATATCGTGCTAGCACTGGTTTAGAGGTTATAGGAAGTGGGAACAGCCGGGGAGAGCATTCTACTCAGGTAGCTTCCCAGAAATGCTCTTATGCACAAGGCTGGAAAGATGAAGAGTGTGTCGGGATTCCAGCAATAGCCAGTTTAGCTCTTTTAACATGTCACAATGGTGGGTAAAGTAATTAATTACATTCTGGTACAAAGCGGTAGAACAAATTATATAACGTATTAAGGTGGGTTTGCGGTGTGGGTGCATGCACTACATCCCCATAATTAATGACTGGCATTAGCATTTGTTATACCTGTTACTGTAGGGCTTAAGCAGGATTTGTTACAGGGCGCCTAGTTCTGAGTACATTCCAATTCGTTACTTTGTGAAAGGGAGGATAAGGAGGTTTGGCAGAGAACGCCAGACAGATGTGGCGTTTTCTATGACTTTTAACATCAGTGTGAAAATTAGATTTTCCCATGATACAAATGCTGTGTTTAAATATGCACACTTAGGCTTTTTTACCAATTAAAATGGTAAAGAATCCACATAGGAATGGCAACTGTTGAGACCAAAAAAAAAAAAATCATTTTGCCAACTCTGCTAAAACGTGTCTATTGAGTAAACCCTTGAGTGCAGAAAACATCAGGGAAACATTCCATTAAGGTGCACCACCTTCTTTTGCCAAAAAAATTTAAAAAACATTTTGGCATAGGCTGTGCAGTGTCATGTTCTGCTTGAGGGGGCAACATGCCTTCTCTGTTGATCTGAAATGTTGGGAGGTGTGAGAAACTATTCTAGAATGTTACTGGCAAAACAGTTTTAAAGCCTGATGGACACTGCATGAAAAATGCTGATCAGCATAAGGCAGTATTTTTCAGGAAAGAAATTAAATAGTCAAGGAGAATCCTTTAATTAAAAAGTAATTTCCCTCCTGTAGTGTATAAATAGTTAATAAATTGTAATTTGAGCTTGGACTTTAATGGCCATTACAGTGTTACTAAATGGATTTGGAATAGTGTCCAGGTAACTGTTTTGGTTTACGTTGTATTTTTTATTACAGTCAGTGTGTATCGCTTGTATCGGTCTCTGAGCAGCATGTGTGCCTCTGTGCTCCCTAACAAGGGTAGTGTCCTTTTCCTGTCACTGCAGCAATCTGTGCTAGTTATGGTGCTGCCCCTTATGTCACTCTGCCAGATGTCTTTACTAGTCATATATCTGGCCTTGGTAAGCTGGCTGCTGGGATCTGATGGTTGCACACTCGGAGGAGGCCATCTGTTTAATCCTCATGTAACCAATTGGATGGTATTATAGAAGGAGTTATCCTGGGTAATCCTGCTCTTCTCCTGCTGAGGATACACAGGGATAACCAAGCGGCTGCTAATCAACTCTATTAAGAGTCGAAAGCGCAATCAGATTTGGATTTCTAAATGTTTATTATATTAACGGGATGCTCATGCATTATTTAATCTGTTTTGAGGCGTGATGGGGTTGTAGGAAGAGCTCCTACAAAATTTCAGTCCCGCATAAACTTTTTCTTCTCAACTAAATGAGGCTGTTATGAATAAAATATGCCTCTAAGTATATTTATATCTAATTGCTAGCAACATGTGGATTCACTGAAAGATTAGAACGGTTGTTTTTTGTTTGTTGGGGGTTGTTTTTGTTTGTTTTTGTTTTTATTAAATCCAGGCTTCCATTTGCAGCCCTAGTTTCGATAAGTAGTTTGCCTCATTTTCCATGTTTATTTCAAAATCAAAGTATCCTGAAAAAGGTCAGAGAATCTCAGGTGAGAAAGTCGCTTACATGTCACATAGTCGCTTACATAGTTATTCTGTTCGGCTTAGAACCAGGTGTAGGTATTTAATTTGTATTCTATCAGCAAATCTATACATTTGTCTAGCACAAGGTGTAGATTAAATTATTTGCAGATTAAAACGGAAGTCCCATTAAGAGGTTAAAGAGGTTAAGGCTGTAATGCAGGGTTGAAAACCTCTTTCAGTATTCCCATGCGGACAGTGCAAAGAAAAAAAAAATAGATCATAGTGTATGCTTTTTCTCCTTTTGGTAACCCTCCTCTGTTATTCTGTTCCTGAATATAATTCTGTTAATGGATGTGGGAGTTCCCTTTTTTTTTTTTCTTCTAGGCACTTGATGAGTGACAGCTCTTTCAGGAGGGAGTGCACTGAAACCGCACAGGCCAGAACTGCAGAGTTCAAGGTCATCTTGGTACGGTCTTCGAATTGTATTTATTGGGAAGTGTTCGAGTCTGCATTTATAACAGCTTGCATGTTTGAAGTCTTTTCTCCGCCTGCTGTACCACTGCCATTTAACCACAGAAGGATGTTATAATTCAGCCATTGTCTAATGTAGTTGCATGGCTAATATTTATTATGCTATTTCCACCTGACTCTGACTAGGCTTGGATAAAGCTCAACAAGCAGACGTAAATGTGTGATTTATCACCATAAACAATAAAATTCTGGCTGGCTAGTCTTTGAAGAACAGTTGTAGTGTAGTGGCAGCATTGAAAACCATTTAAAAAAATAAAAAAAAAGGGATGGCGTTTCAACATTGCACACCATCCGCCTATTCACGTGCTTTCCGCTAGGAGAAGCTGTATATTTTTATGAGTCTGTATTCCTCATTAAAATAATACTACTGCATCAAGAACAATAACCGCAACTCTTGGGCAAGCTTCTTAAGCCCTAATTCTTATTGGCACCCATTTTATGGGTACCTTATTTGATTTGCAGTCGGTAGGAGGGAACTTGGCAGTGCATATGGCTACAAAATGTAATGATTACTCCTCTCAAAAAGATGTTGTGTTAACATACTTAAAGGACCACTATAGTGCCAGGAAAACATACTTGTTTTCCTGGCACTGTAGTGCCCTGAGGGTGCCCCCATCCTCAGGGTCCCCCTCCAGCCGGGCTCTGGGGAGAGGAAGGGGTTAAACTTACCTCTTTCTCCAGTGCCGGGCGGGGAGCTCTCCTCCTCCTCTCCTCCCTCTTCTCCTCCTCTTCGGCTGAATGCGCATGCACAGCAGGAGCCGCGCGCGCATTCAGCCAGTCCATAGGAAAGCATTCACAATGCTTTCCTATGGACGCTGGCGTCTTCTCACTGTGATTTTCACAGTGAGAAGCACGCAAGCGCCTCTAGTGGCTGTCAAGAGACAGCCACTGGAGGCTGGATTAACCCATTTATAAACATAGCAGTTTCTCTTCTCTGAAACTGCTATGTTTATAAAAAAAAAAAAAAAGGGTTAACCCTAGCTGGGCCTGGCAACCAGACCACTTCATTAAGCTGAAGTGGTCTGGGTGCCTATAGTGGTCCTTTAAGGTATGTATAGAGAAAATGATTGAATACGATTTACGTTAGTTGGATCACTGCAAGTCCCTGTAGTAATTCCACTACAGAATTATGGCCCCCCCCCCCAAAAAAAAAAATTCTTACCAGAGATCTGTTTGCGAGGTCTGCATTTTACCTACTACTGGGTGAAATAGAAGGGAAAAAACAAAATGAATGCTTACCAATAAATTAACAATTTTATTTTTTTATGTACATGGTCAGTCTAAAAGAATCCATTATGTGCTGCATCCAACCAGAGAGGCTGAACAAATTCTGTGTTTGAAATTGGTTTTGCACATTACTGTTACTGACATCACAAACACTGGGTTTGCTGGTTGGAAATGTTATAATTTATTTTTTTATTTTATTAAGTGCTTGGTAGTGAAAAGGCTACTTTGCAGCATATTTTATAGAGAAGATAAGAGACTTATATTTTGGACTGGAAGAGACTAAATGGAAAAATGGCCTTGCTCACAAGAGCTAACAATCTACAAAAGCGGAAGGACCTTTAGG